GTTTTGTGTAAAATTACTGGAAATGATGCAGGAACTATAATTTGTTTTCTATTTGTTTATATTAATGTATATAAAGATCCCATTTAGTGTTTGCGAGTCCCGTATATTAAGCAACAAGGTGTGTGTGTGTGTGTGTGTGTGTGTGTGTGTGTGTGTGTGTGTGTGTGTGTGTGTGTGTGTGTGTGTGTGTGTGTGTGTGTGTGTGTGTGTGTGTGTGTGTGTGTGTACTGCTTGAGGTTAAATATTTATATAATCCACACACAGTACTTATATGTATACAGTGGTACTTGTGACATTGATTCTGATATTTACACATACAAGTAACACTATATACATATGTATTTTCACAGATTATATTTTTTGTTACTGAAAATTAGGAGTGGAATGTGAAGGGAGTACTGACATGTGTACAGTGTGTGTGATCTTGTGTTTGTTTATTTACACACTTCTAATGTTAATATTTTTTTTCTTATTTATTGTACTATCTTTTTGTGTAAGTTCTTTATACACTCTACTGGTCAACTAAAATCTCAACTCTGGAAATATGAGTGAATGGATCCAATTGGGGTTGTAACACCATCGCTCAAACTGTCATTACCTTCAATACCCAGAAGACATATATGTCCGAGTCAAAAAGCAACCTTTTCGTCTCATATTAAAAGACCATATATATTCCCACCTTTTACGGCTCCCAGACAAAAGGTTTCATTATCACTTAATCAATTATCAAACTGACAATGATTTCAAGCCTTTAAAAATGGCTGGAGAATTGAAATATTATGTACTATACACAAACAGTTATAACAAAACACTACTCAGCTCAGAAGCCCAAACATATACAGGAATTACAGAGAAGATATTCGTGTATAAATTTCCTTGCAGGGGAAAACATACACAGAGAAAAGAAAATAATAAGAATTGATCCGAAAACCCCATTTTATGACCTCCCAGGATTAGGTAACTGAAGAATTATATCTCTGTATTCTGACACTAAATCATGAGTCAAATACACATCCCTTTCCCAAAATGGATCCTGAGCAAAATTTCACCATTTAAGGTAAGAAAAATGAGCTGTGAATGTCGTACCAATTAACACACAACTCGACCTTCATCCCAGTCATCAACATTAGGACTGTCTGACATCAACCAAATCAGTTCCAGGTGACTTCTTTGATACCTAACAGGAGATTGAGGGCACGTGAGACACTTAATTCTGAGCTCAACCATAATATGAGAATTTAGGATCAATATATAGCTCATACCCTCAATAAATGACTCATAAATTCCCCCAAAACCAGTCAAGAGAATAGGAGGGGGTAGTGCAGGTGCTGTGTGTGTGTGAAGGAGACCAATCTGATGATACCCACATAACGACGAGTATTACAAACCAGTGACCAAATGCCTCTCGAGTAAATGGTAAGTCTCTTTGACATTCAAGGTGACAGGTCCCATATGGCAAGCTGGTCAACATGAGTAAGACTGAACAAATCTTGACACTATAAGGAAACTCCATACTTTGACCAGCTAGAGGTATCACCCAAACTAAAACACAACTTCCTAATCTACCCTACTAACTAACTATCTTTTTCAAAAGCAAACACACAAATTGCTTAGTAAGTTAATCTGAAAATAAACCCCTAACATTAAAGGAAGGGAAATATCTCAGTAAAACAATCTGCTTCACAAGACCCAAAACATAATTTATAAGACCTAACCTGATCACAAGACTCAAAACATAATTTATAAGACTGAGGAACAAAATATGATACAGAATCCCTCTTCAGACATCATAGAATATTGGTCAAGGGAACTGTACAGGATATGAAGCCACTAGAGAGTAATCGATTAAGGGTGTTACAGTTACTTGCAACATCCTAGGAACAGATAGGAGTAGATATATCTGTATCTCCTTCAATCCAAGAAAAAATCCTTAAACTCCAACTGATTCTTCCTAAGGTACAAAGAAATCAAGATATATGAAGCTGTTGATCCTATGCCATTACACAGTGAATGAATCCAGTTAAGGAAATTTGTTCTCCAGTATCTGGCACATTTGAGTCACTGAGTCTGTGCGAACCATTTGAGGTTCTTAATGGATACCAGTGAGTCACATGAAATCATTATCACCAACTGAAGACCAATTAGAGATATTTCAAAGATCTCTGAGTCACCTGATGTCATTATAAATATGTGATTTGTGTGGGCACCTGAGTCACCTGATACCTTGGCATTATTATCATCACCTGTGAATCATACAAGATGACTATGACCAATTATGACCCTACGTGACCTCTAGAGTTACCTGGGGGGTCATTAATAGAAGCTGTGGGAAGGCCGACATCAATACACGAATTTCTGAGTCATCTGGGGTCATAATAAATACTCGTAAACTCACTGGCATCAATACGAACATACGTGACACAGACTTGACCTCATCCTAGCTAAGACTTACGAGACAACCTGTAGTTATTGTAAACACCTGTCAGGCACCTGTGGATATTAAGAGCACCTGCAAGACACCTGAGGTCGTTAAAAGCACCTGTCATTTGTGTCATTAACTTTGGGATAACCGGTGTTAACATAAGTCCCTGTGTCCATGTGAGGCACTTGCGATCACTGTGAATGTCTAGGAGATGTACTGTATGGCATCAATATGAACACACATAAGACAATAAGCAATAAATCCTAAAATCCTTCTGGCAAGTGAACTTATGAACACCTGTGGGGGTTTCTGATGCCACTAGGAGGATGTAAGAGATATCTGGACCAATACAAGAGGTGGTGATACAGCTGGAGTCATTAGAAGCACTAGTGAGGGTGAATGAAGAGCAACAAAAGCTCTCAGCACCTATAATGACTTGTTGGGTTCCTAGTGACATTAGGAGGATTTATGAGATAACCAGGACCCTTTTGAGCAGTTATGAGAACATTACGAGTATATAAAGAAGTAGACAAAAGGCAACAAGTGACTTTACGACCAATAATATCAATGGAGACATCAACCACTTATGTACAGGGTTCTCTCTGAGCTGAATAAAATCATCATGTGTTACCCAAATAAAATATTAAAAGTGGCAGTGGTATCCCATAGTGAAGGGATTAATCAACAACTACAAATACCAGTGGGAGATGTGACCTCACCGTGATCAGTAATGATAGAACCAGTATGCAAGAGGCTGAGAAAGATCCTGACACCTCAAGCAGAATGTAAAAGGTTTCCAGAGGCTCATTAAGACAACACAAAAAGATGGTGAGGTTAGGTCAGGTCACATAACTCAAAGACAAAAACACTAAGTAAAATGTCCTGACCATTAATAAATTGATTGCAGAAATACAGGAGGCACTTAAAGGTGAATTGACTCCAGAAAAATCCCAATATGGGTGATCCAGATAAAGGTCAAACTGTATGTCAGATAGAACAGAGGACTTGTTGTTCCTACCTAAAATGGTGAATTTATGCTTCTTAACCCCTTGTGTATGGGGTCGCCTCTGACCTGAGTAAAATCATTTGGCATCAGCCCTCATAGTGAAGGAGTCAAGACCATTTTTAGAGACTTGATTGAGTTATAACAGCTAAATATAATTAACTCATGAAATAACTCAATTATGTCTAAATGGCTAACCCAGAATTACAATTAGACTCATAACTATAATTCATAATCCATTTAGTAAAGATTAACAGCTAAAAATATCTATAAATTCACCACTGTAACATCACAATTCAAATAGCAACCCAAGTCAACCACAAAACACCAATCATCATGGGAGTTAAGGAAATCAAAAGTAGACAGAGTTTCATCCCACTCACCTGAATAACAGACAATTTTTTAACTGTACATACATACATACAAGACATAGTGGCAGAACCTAAAATATGCCCCAAAGACTAAAGTAAAAGTATATATAAGACTGAGTGAAGGACCAGATCAAAGCACTGTGCCAGTTACTCAATTGAGAGATATTCCAGGTACCCAGATGTAAGGTACAGTCACCCACAGGAGTCATGTCGCCGCTCTTCCTCCCGAACCCCAAGATTCGGATTCGTGAACCCGGAGCAGCAGAAAACGATGCATCACGTCTGTAAATGCTTCGGATTCGCGGGTCTGAATCTCGGGGTTCGTGAGAGGCGACAGGACTTTGCATGTGGCTGTATATACGTCACCAACATACAGTGTTCTTAAATAGTACTTACTTTAGTACTTTCAAAATGCAACTACTTTCTTATTACAAGATATATACAACTTTGATATCAATCTTTTTTTTTTTAATATAAGAGTCTAAGATAATGTAAATACGATATACTGTATAATCAAATATTAAAATCAACTGCCCACAAAACAAAAAAAGGCATCCATTAAAAAGGAAAGAAAAAATAATTATCAAACCACAAAACACCAGTAAAATAATAATTTAAAAAAATAAAAAAGAAGAAATCCCTTAGTCGTCATAGGGTGTGCATTCAAAATTTTTTAATAGTTTTAAAAATTCCACAAAAATTTATAACTCAGAGTTTAAAGTCCTATATTAATAAGAGCAGGTGGTGATAGGGGGGGAGCATTGTATTAACTGGTTCACTCTTGGGTGTTAGTTTAAGTGGTGAGAGAGAATGCCGGTGATCACAGTGACGAGAACTTTGATTATGAGACTAGAAATATCTACTTTCTTCCTCCAAATGGGAAATGAAAGTTATTTGCAGAGTTCAGTTCCAATAATATATAAACTGATATCATCACCTTAACTTACTTTTAAATACTTACAATATAAATATCTATAACATCTTTGGAAGAATTGTGAGGCGTAGTGATGAAATTAATTAAAGTTTCCATCTTAGGGCAAATGAAAACGACTAAGGAATCCCCATTAGTATCCCAATAGCCCACAAAACAGAAGGTTATGACTAGAATGCAAAGCAAACAGTGCAAAACTTGAAAGAATGCCAAGGAAAGCCCTCAAGAATGCAGTGAGCGGTTAAGCAGTAAGACATGGCAGGAATAACTCACTGCTCCAACCAAGACGGAGGTGCTGTGTTGGGGCTGCGCAGTTTGATGTTGAACTGCTTGAGGGTGGCTTCCAGGGCAGTCTGGTTGCCACTGAAGTATGCAGACACAGCATTATGGAACAACAGCAGCTGCTTATGCATTACTTTCACCTGTGGATAAAAAACACTTTGGTAGAGGTTTTAATGTTGAGGGGTCTAAATTTATATAAAGATGTTGTCGTTCATACCATATTTATGTTGATTTTAACCTCATTTATAATCTCTCTCTCTCTCCCTTTGCCTCTTTAAATGAAATAAATCACAATTACCATATCAATGTTAAATCAGATATGTAGTTTTCTCCCTTAACATGTCCCTTTATTGTTAAATCCTCTCTACATGCATCACAGTTCACCCTCATCACATACATAAATTCTCCCCAAGTACCAGTTCCTTGTTAACCCTCTTCCAAGAATACATCCTACAATATTTCTATAAGTCTATCTTTTTTCTATCTTCTATCTATCAACATTTAACATCATGTGGCCTCCAGGACTAACACACAGACACATGTAATCTTTCCCAAATATTTTAATCAATAACACCTTTACTTTTTCATATCTTACTATAATACCTCAGACTTCCACATGTTCCCTTCTGAGGATGTGACCGCAGCAGAAGACTTACCCCCCTCTCACAATGTAGGTAGCCTCTCCCTCCAATGCATGCACTAAAACACCCTATATTCTGTATCCTTCTTGTACATTCACACCACCTCAGTAGACCTTTCTTCATCTATTCCACCACTGCAATTTTACACCTGATGCCTCTACTGCCATTACTTGCTCCACAGAACCCTGACATAACTCCTCTCGTTATCATGTGTTTTAGAGCACTGTTTAGTTCCTAGAGTATCTTTCACTGCTGTAACTTAAGATATGAAATATTATGAGTTATTTTTCTATTTCCATGGTTATATATACTGTACCTTCTACACCTGGGAAACTTGCCTCCAAGGTTAATCCCGATAAACAAACCTTAATCACATCCATACCTTATTTTCATCCAAGAATTTTAGTTTAATGGCTACGTCGGCTCTGAGTCTATCATAGTGAGCCTTGTGGCCGCTAAAGTTCCTCTGGGCTTCTTCTAACTTGATGGAACTAATTTCGGAACGCGGTTGTTGAGAGAGCATTTCTAAGTCACTCCGGTAAGCATCGTATTCAATTCTGCAAGGAAGGGAAGAATTATATATACTGTATACATTATAGTCCGAGATGACGAGGCCCCATCAAACTCACTGCATTATTAAAGGACCATAAACTCGGTAGCTAAACAGAGACAGGGAAAATGTTGAATTATAACCTCAGTCTTGACCTTCTTGGTACCATGTACACCAAATAAACTGCAGTGATCTTACTTTGATCTATAAAACATTTCTCAAGTTACTGAAACCAAACTGGTGGTATTTTAACATTATTAATAAAGGAAATTAAAGATGCAGGAATTGAACCTTTTTTTTAATTAATATAATTAATTTCAAGGCAAAAATTAGCATTAAAATACATTAGAATTAGGTTGTATTAGACTTGAGACCCATTAGAACTTAAACCCCATATGGTTAGGTCAGGATAAGACCCACATGACTAATCATCACAAAGGTCACATATATCAGAGAACAAATCATCACCACCACCTCCACCACCTCACCACCTCCACCACCTCACCTTGCCGCTTCATACAACTTGACGGTGAGTAACGTGTCTTCCATAGTCTTGTTACATAATGTGTTTACCGACGACACAAAAAAGTTTAGAGCACCAAGCAGCGTCTCTCCATTCTTGGTGAGAGTCCTTTGAGTTTCTGCGTTATATATAAACTCCTCCTGAAGTTCTGGCGATTTCTGTATATAAAAAAAATATGAATTACTAACATTAACTTTACGTGGATATAGCGAACAGTATTTATTTATTTTGTTAATGTTTGCAAGACCTTTCCTGTGTGGGTCAAAGTGGCTACAATCAAGAGCAACATAGACCACCTCTCTCATATGTTGTCACCTGTACACTCCTGCTGCTATAACAAATCTGTTCTGTTATGTTGTTCATCTCTTACCTCACAATACTTCAAAACAATGCAGCATCAAACACCAATACAATAAGACTATTAATCATGCTTAAAGGATTTCAATACCTTTATTACATCTCTTTAATACCACAGCGTCTATAGTTTCTAACGTTTATTACTTAATTTTGTTGATTAGGTTATTTAAGTATAGTATTCATTTCAATATCATTTCCTCATCACTAAACTGATACAGGGTTTAATATACAGACAAACTATTACAATTACTATCAACATTTCAAAATCTATTCTTCACTATCAAACATACACAGGATCTACTACAGCCAATTTATTTATTTTACAAGGCAATTTATTCCTTTTACAGGGCAATTTATTCCTTTTACAGGGCAATTTATTTTCATTTACAAGGTAATTTCTTTCTTTTACAAGGTAGTTTATTTTTAACATGGCAATTTATTTCCTCTCATACCAGCCAATGTTAAAGATATTACCTATTAATTCCCTATCTATTTTACATTACAAAAACATATGATCTACCTGTGTATTTTCAAAGACATAATAGCTATTTACCAATATATTTACACATAGCCTATTAATCTTACATCCCAAACCCTATTAAAATCTATTAATACTTTCTATTACCTTTATGTCTACTATTTACGGTAACTGTACTGTATCTGATAAATCCTTTCTTATTTGTACGAAATATGTTTGTTTTTCTTTAATCACATTTCAATACGTCAATTGTCTTTATGATTTCAAGGTACAGATCCAGAGAGACTTATGCCCTTGAGGTTTAATTCACAGTGTCTGATAAATAAATATCATGATTTGTTATGTTCGTCACTATCAACAATGGGAGAGGCGACTCTTAATGGAACTTATTTATGGTCGAGTTTACGTTGCTTCACTTCCCTGGTAAATGCTGGATCAATCTTCTGGTATTATTTTATTTGGTAACAGAGGATTTAATTGAGGGTCTTGAGGTTATAGTTTGAGGATTTTGGGGTAAAGTTTCCTTCACTTATACAGTACTTGGATGCAGTGACTGGCATGTTTTGTGAGATGTGGCAACTCTGTGTTTGTTTACATCTTATTAAAACTCCCAGAATGGCCCCTAAGGAACCTCACAATAGTAACCAGACTAAGGATGCTGGATAAGCACTACACAGAGTTGCCACATCTCACAAAATGCCCCAGCTACTGCACCAGGTATAAGTGTAAGTGAATACATTAACTGATTTAGGAACTTCAGCCAGTCCTTTGCCTGTTATTCTGGGGACGCACGCACGCACGCACGCACACACACACACACACACACACACACTACTGGGCTAGGTCACTGGGGCTACAGCCATATCCAAAGGCTAGAAAACATGGAGAAACAAAGTAATATTCACCTCCCATGAAGATTTACTTAGTATTTTTCACATTAATTTAAACATTTTTTTCCGAAGACTTTAAGAGGGTAGTTTACTCTGTAAATCTGAGACTAAGTGATGACTGTTACTATTTACAGAGGAGTTTATACTATAACTAATCTCTACACTACATAAGTCACATCAAACTGGTGCTGAACATGACATTACTGAGTTACTGGAATAATGAACGGGGGGTGTGCCTTCGTTCACATTATCAAACAATTCTAGATTTGCTTTCCAAAATGCAAATTGGACTTCTGCAATCATTCAGCGAGCGAGCTATATTTGTGCGAGCAAGTACTATAGTGTCAACATACCAAGATGTGTTGCTCTGCTGTTTGGTCTTCTATTTTGTTCTGTGAATCAAAGATAATTCAGTGAATAACAATTTCTTGCAAGGTTCATTCTTCATCATTAAATTTGTCTTGAATTGCCAAGCTAATATGTGGCTGATGCATGTGAACAACAATCTTTTACATGAATACATAAACTGAAAGATATACTTGTGTGTTCATGTATTTACAACTGTATCATGATGTCTTGGTCCAGAAGAGAATATTAATGGTACTGTACTTCCCCCTTTTGTAATCTGAGGTCTGCACACACCCCCCCTCATGAAAACTAATCCCTGTCATGTTCTTGAACCTTACACCCTCCTAACTAACTAATCTGTCTTTATTAGTCAAAATATACTTTAGAATTGGTGAAATGTTTTAAAATTTATGCTGGATCTGACCTTCACTTTCCTATAAACATCTAAAGATTACATAAAACTTTGTAAATATTTGGCTTTTTGATAAATACTCCCAATTACAGCTTTAACATTAAGATTTTGTAATGGTATAAACACAGTGTAGCTCTTCAAACCATATCTCACAGGATGAAAACACAAAACATAACATTAACATTTTCAGCAGTGTAAAATAAAAATAAAAATCACATATTATTACAGAAGTTGAAATACAAGAAAAGGACTATGAAATTACTTGGAAATACCAGATAACTAACAATATAAGCAATACATTTCTTATCAACAAAGTATACGGTGAAGATATACAGGATACGTCAAATGAGTACGGTATCACATTGGCAGAGTATAACTAAATAATACTCACATCTGCCATAAGAATGAACGAATGCTCTTGACTGTGACCACTCACCACTCTACCTATTTACAAAATTATCACAATACTATTCAAAATTAACCGGATGAAACAGACATACTCGTGATTCAACCTCAACTGCAATAAATATTTCCATTCAACTTAAATATAATTTGAGAATAATTAAATGCACCTGTTGGAAGGATTAATCACCCGAAATGAACCACAAGTTAACGGTAAAATTCCCAACCTCACGTCAGACACACAAATGAACTCTCAATGCTATGACACCAGTCCAGTCTCCAGTGATAAAGACTCACACTACACCTCAGAAGGGCTGCCTGGTTACTGAAAGACAGCTCCCCTTCCTTGCTTTTATAAATGAACCAGAGATGACAGCATTCAACATTACAACACTTAGAAGACTGGTAATTGGTTCTATAATCAGATAAAATAGTTGAGGTTAATTCTTTTGGTATATGACTACCTGGATACCTGTATAATAGCCAATTACAATCAGGTTATTAATATCCTCTGAATAAAAGAAATGCCAAAGATATCTGAGCATTAGGAAGACAAAGAAAGAAACATGAAAAATACAGATAAATTAGTAACGATTAAAGATGTAATTTTAACCCAGGCTGAAAAATATATCAGAAAACATAAACACTGGAATGATTTTTACAAATGTTAGTGGTTATTAAAATGAATAAAAAAAAATCTACATTATACAGTGAAATAATATGAAGCAGTGTGACTCAATATAGATGCTAAACTATTCACTAATTTACCATGGATACAAGCTTAGGATAGAACCGGGTATTTGTGGTTTGTTTTAGTTTGCTTGTTTGTTTAACCCGATGCCGTTACTTCCCACAATTGTCCCGAGTTACTCACCCTGCTGATGTCCCATTCTCTGAGGTTACTGTGCCCCTTGATTCACCTCGGACTAGTATACAAGAGTAAATATAGTGTAATATATATGGATAAACAGATAGATATGTTTTGATATTGAGGTCTAACATGGATAAAGATGTGTCGTGAGTGTGTGCTGGATATGTGGGTGGGTGTGTCAGTGTGTGGGTGTGTCAGTGTGTGGGTGTGGTGTGGGTGTGTGTGTGTGTACATCTCCTCTACAATATTAAGGCAATGTGTAACTACAAAACACATACTAAAAAAAAACACAGTTAATATGAATACGTCTTACCTGTGCTAAGTCTGCAAAAGCATCGCCAAGCTGTTGTTGTGTTTGCACGACGTGATAGAAATGTGACGACAAGGCCCTAGCCAATCGTAATATCTGGGAATATTTACGTTGTGTGTCTCGAAGTGATTCAATTTGTCCTTCTAACTCTGAAAATGGATAAAAAGAAAAAGCATTAATTTGATATTTTAGAAGTCTTGTGGTCTGTCTGAGTCTAGTACCCAGGCACCATAGTGTTTTACTTTGTTTGGTATATCAGTAAGATAATTATAGACGATGTAATAATAATTTTCTTCCCTTTATTAATATCATTATTCCTCTTTATGATTCACAGACTAAATTCTTAAGTTGTGAATTCCTGTATTTTTGTAGTAGTGATTAAGTACCATTGGTAGTTACTGGAATACTGTATTCTACAAAAAATCACACTTCAGTCAAATAGGTCATGAACTGCAAGTATTTGATCACTCTTCAAGAATGAATAATGTAAATACAGCATAACCTAATTCAAACCTTATAAATGCATAGAAAGACTTGATATGATTATAATCCTCAATATCAATTACAAAATATAAAATCAGTTTTATCTTGGTAAACTTTCCTACAATCTCAGTACAGTAGTTGGTAATTTATCATGACACACACATACTAATTTTGTAGTTAATCTATGCCTTAACTACTGGCCAGCACCTAAGGATTCCCTACTATACTCCTTTATGTAAACAAATGTAATGCAAGGAACACGAAACTTCCGCTGATCATGGCCACCGTCCCTACAGCTAATTCCCACTGATGATGGCCACCGTCCTTACAGCTAACTTCCGCTGATGATGGCCACCGTCCTAACAGCTAATTCCCACTGATGATGGCCACCATCCTTACAGCTAATTCCCACTGATGATGGCCACCGTCCCTACAGCTAACTTCCACTGATGATGGCCACCGTCTCTACAGCTAACCCCTGCTAATGACCACTGTTTTAAGAGTTAAGCACACACAAACATTACTCACCTGCATCTACCGTCCGAGATGATTTTCCTAACTTCTCAGATAAGAGTTGTTTGGTGCACTTGTATGTGGAAATGGACCAGGACTTAATCGTTTCCATTTTACTAGACCCTGTACGGACGACGGCGGCTCCATTTTCTGTGCCGGGGGTTGTTGGCGTAGCTAATGGAATAGGCGACATGGCTGGAAACGGCGAGATATAACAGTCCCACTTATTGCCGTATTCTGAAACATTCCTCACATAGGGGTCTAGGGCTTAAATTCTATCTTATGAGGTTGAATTTAGCAAAGGCGCTTCTTTTTAGTATGACTAATGAAAGCCGTGAGGGTGGAGACTAGTAAATACTCTATCTATTAGTTTGCAATAGGGGGAGGGGCTTGGATATTAGTATCTAGGTATACTGTATGTACATAGATAAGTGTGTGTGCAAGGGAAGGTGAGGGAACGACATGAAGGACTTGGGGAAGTGTAAGCATGTGTACCACGCAGCCTAAATTCCCAAATACTGTATCAGCTTATAACTACAGCAGCAGAAGGAAGACAGATAGAAAAAATAACACAGGGTAATAAGTTTCCTCTATATTAAGCAGAAACATTTAAAAAAAAAACATTAAAAAACAGGTTTCCAGTCATCCTAAGATATTTTCCCATTGATGGCTTGAAACCTGATTATCATATTACAAATTAAATATAAAAGAGTTGGTATAAAATCGAGAGTGACCTTTATGAGACAATGTACTCTGTGTTACCAGGAGGTTTGTCAGCATATATCATAGACCAGACTAGCATGTTACTTAAAATAGTACTTCTCAATGCTGGCTGAAGAGTAGCAGGTTTGAAGTGTGGCACTGTACATGAGGAATCAGTTAGTGCCAGTTAAAAGTTCTAAGAGTTCAAATTTCAAAACTCTTACATGAAAACTCCCTCTGAATTCCCACACTTTTACAGACTTTATTAAATGTGTTTTAATTCAACAAGTATTAGAGGTTTAAATGCTGTATTGTTGGTGCTAGGTAACCTCCTCGAGAAGCTAGGTACAGTGCCTCGAGTGTTATGCTTGTAATACTAAATGAGTCACAAGCTCTAAATTTTCAGTCTCGCGGATGACACCTAAATGGAATGTTTAATGCCATGACACCAGCCTTGTCTACGGTGTAAAGACCCATAATACACCTCGGAGCAACAGTCTGGTTACTGAAAGACAGATATCCCCGAGTCCCTGCTTTTAAAAATGAAGTCAGAAATGGTACTTGGACCTCTGTCTACAATACACTAACAGTTGAACAAATTATTTACACTTCTTTGATCAAAGATATATATCAAAGGCACCAATATCACTCAATCATGATCCCCATTTCTGATCAAACAGAAGAAGTTCATGATGAGGTGATGTCTAACTCTGAATAAAATATATTTTTTACTATGACAACCTGAGTTACTGACTGTGTACAAAAATATTATCTTATTACACTCAGACACAATGATGGTCCCACTAAACTGACACGGCAATAAAGAATCATCAGACCATGAAGCACTCGACATTCTTACACCATGACATCATAACACAATAAAGAAACTGCTTGCAGGGAAGGTCACTCGTAATCTCCCAGACAGACTAACACTTCTATGTAATAAATTCAACCAATCAGCTGCCCCCAAATGAGTAAGAGAATGAGGGAAATTTTTTTGTAGGTAAAGGGACCCAAGTTATAGTAAGAAGAGAAACTATTTTTCCAAACTTGATAAAACTTTCAAGCTTGAATTATGAGCTTTACACCAGAGACTAAGCTGGCGCCATGACATCAAGCCATTCATAGAGATTGTGACTTTAATTATAATATATTAGATAGGTGTAAGTTTATCCAGTCTGTAAAAATAGTGTTAATAATAAGAGATATCACTTCATCTATAATACTGAAATGAAAAAAAAATCATGCCTACTGGAAATAAATTGGACTAAACATGCCTTAAATTTTTTCCTAATCACAATTTATTTTACAGATAAGAATGAAACTGATCGAGAAATAGAGAGGGTCGAGAAACACCCACCAGGACTACTCGCACTATTGGGCGAGGTGTAGGCTGACCCTGGGTTGTGAGGGTACTGTGGGAGGGACGTTGGTCGAGCCTGAGGTGTGGGGATGGGCTGTGTGGGGGAAGTGGCGGGAAGCTGTTGTATCCCTGAATTTGGTATGGCATTGGGCATGGGAACGCCCGCTAAAGGCTGGTTCTCTCCGCAGGTTGACCCATCATTCAGGGCGACAGACTGCATTCCTCCCTCGCTAAGATCTCCATCCATGTCTGCTACTGACTGTGTTAAAGGTGTAAATAAAGACATTATATAAAGTACAGTAATTATATCCTCTAAACTCGTCTCATTCTTTAATATAAATTCAATCAAAAAATTTATATACGTACACTATTAAATACTGTAAGATAAACTAATATAAAAATATTACCTATAATGTTTAAATGCAACATACAAAATAAAAATTACATTTAAACATTTTTGGGGGGACAAGAAATTTAAAATTAATTAAAAAAATAATAATTTACTACAAATGTTAACCAGTACATCAATAAATAAATTTCCCTCCTTGCAAACATACAAAAAAAAAAACCATCATTTATACACTACATGATAACAGTTCCTGAACACAGCTGTCCTAACATAATAACCAAATCATTATAAAGTCAAATCACCAGTTTAAATTAACACCACTCACATAGCTAGCTACAGCCTCTGAGTAACACGACCAGACACCACCAAACATTCAAATGCCACTAACAGAAACTCGACAATTTATGATTATACCTAAATAGCAAGAAATAATAGACTAATATAATAAGGCTATTGCATATTCTCTTTAAACTCAACCTGGAAACTATCATACAAACACTAAACTAATCTTGAGGAATATATAGACACAAACAACATAACAAAAACTAAAGTACTGTACAACACTAGTTAGCAACATCATTTTTATCATCTTACAACTGACTTCTTATCAGTTAAGCAATTAAGATAACCCGTGGTTAATGTAAACCAGAATACACGATACTTCCTCTTGACAAAACATCACCAACTACCTATTCCCCACAACTAGAGGACATTGACATAACAACCAATACTCCTCTTTTAAAAACACTAGGCTTACTTTCTGTGCTTGTTCAACATTCAGTACTAAAGGTCAAAAATTGATAAGGAGATTACGGTATATTTCAAGTAGATAAGATGGCAATTACATAAAAAAAATTAGCGTGTGAATATACTAAAGGAGGTGTTTTTTATATTGACAATTTAGATAGAGACGAGAGTTTATGTAATGCTAATAGTTAATCTCTTCATTAAACAGATGTTACTTTTAATATTTGATTTGGTTAATGCTCATTGATTTTATTGAGTACAGAGGGGGTTCCTGGATACAAGTGGTTATGATGAATGAACTAGAAAATGGATGCTAGTAGAGAAATTAAATAGCATGACAGTCTTCTACAGCAAGCAAGGGGTTATTATATACTGATGACTAAGCACTCATTGTTTTACTATACAGTATACAGTACCGGTACATAAGAGCTATCACATGGTATTGCTACACTCAAACCTAGACTAGCCTAACCAAACCAAACCCAACCCAATCAGACCTGACCTGACCTTACCTGACCTGACCTGACCTAACCTAACCAGAAGCCATTAAAATTCAAAACACTATTACTACAAGCTGATCAGTACTGAGAGTTCATGAGAGCAAATCCCAGTTCTAATTTCCAGGATATAATTTACTGATACCTGGCTACTTGGGAAAATGGTCAGAAATCATATAAAAACTAAAATGAAAGGATAGAGGACCGATAAATGTAAGATACTGTAGCAGCCACTGTAGGAAAACGTCAATATGATTTTTATTTTATTTTTGGGGGGACAGGAGTCGCACAACAACAAAAAAATACTTAAATTCACCGTACCAAAATATATTCCGGTACAGTATATATTTGACCTTATTGGATTAAATTTTACACTGTCTACCTTGATCATATATGTATACTGACTCAAACAAGACATTCATTAAAGGCAAGAACTAGGAGTATTTTTAATTAGCTGGATTCAACAGGAAACAGGTTTGATGATAACAGTTGGGTTTTTTCCAGTTCATATCCGAGTGTCAGGTGAAAGAGGAGTGACAGAGGCCGATGTATGTTTTAAAGTGACTCGTGTCTTCTTTCAGCCAAGCAATATTCTTTTATAAATAATATTGAGCCTGGATTACTATTTTATACTTAAACTTGGGATTTGTAGATGTAAGACTAATGCACACACACACACACACACACACACACACACACACACACACACTAAACCTCAGATATACACATTAGAGATTCTTAATACTAATCCCTTACCAGTCCATTAGGTTAAGTTAAGTTAGGTTATGATTGGTAAGGTTAGATTAGGTTATGATACTTCGTGATTCTCAACTCGGAAGCTGAAAAAACACATTTGTTTAGCGTTTCCACAAATAAAGACAACCTCCATTGCATTAAGTATTAAATATTGCACAAAAATCACACCAAATTAATCCACCAAATTAGCAACACGAGCTAACACGACCTCACGAAACTATGGAAGGAATTACAGTAAGAACTCAATTATTTGATCTGTTAACGAGTAATAATTGTAATCTCTATATAATGCAGTTTTCTATATATAATCCGTGAGGGGGGGGGGAGGTAGGCAACAAAAGATCCTCGATATGGACTTTCATATCTATAGTTTATTAAAAGGGTTTCATATATAACGACCCTGATACAATGGACTTTTCATACGCAGTTTATTAGAGAGGTTTCATATAACGACCTCGATATAATGGACCTTTCATATCTATATAGTTTATTAGGGAGTTTCTATATAACCCTCGATAATGGACTTTTCATATCTATATAGTTCATTAAAAGGAGGTTTCATATATAACGGACCCTCGATATAATGGACTTTTCATATCTATATAGTTCATTAAAAGGAGGTTTCATATATAACGAACCCTCGATATAATGGACTTTTCATATCTATATAGTTCATTAAAAGGAGGTTTCATATATTACGAACCCTCAATATAATGGACTTTTCATCTCTATATAGTTCATTAAAAGGAGGTTTCATATATTACGAACCCTCGATATAATGGACTTTTCATCTTTATATAGTTCATTAAAAGGAGGTTTCATATATAACGAACCCTCGATATAATGGACTTTTCATATCTATATAGTTCATTAAAAGGAGGTTTCATATATAACGAACCCTCGATATAATGGACTTTCCTCCCCATATAGTCCATTATATAGAGGTTTCACTGCAAGTACTAAATTCCTTAAGACGATATCAAACAAATTAACAAAATCAACGACTAAACACCACAGCCCTCGAAAGTAATTAGAGTATTGTCATAGTTAACTACTGTACGATCATTTGGCTTTATCCTAACAACTAATGTGTAGTTTTCATTATAAATATTTTTGGGTTAATTTGTTATTGATGTTCACACTGGTTCAACATGTAACGTACACAGTGTATGTATATAGTTTACATAGTGTAGATATATAAAGTGTACATACTGTAGGTATATAGTGTACATACTTAGGTATATAGTGTACATTGTGTAGGTATAGTGTACATTGACAGTTTATGTATAAATTGTACATAAATACAGTAAAATATACATAGCCAGCATAAGTATACAAACTATTTCAATAGGTCAAATATTGCACCATAAACCTCGAGCCAGAATTTATACTCTTGATACACCCAAACTCACATTATCAACACAGACACCACTATAATACAGACACCACTATAATACACAGACACCACTATAATACACAGACACCACTATAATACACATACACCACTATAACACACAGAGACACCACTATAATACACAGACACCACTATAACACACAGAGACACCACTATAACACACAGACACCACTATAACACACAGAGACACCACTATAACACACAGAGACACCACTATAATACACATACACCACTATAATACACAGACACACCACTATAACACACACAGACACCACTATAATACAGACACCACTATAATACACATACACCACTATAATACACAGAGGCACCACTATAACACACAGACACCACTATAATACACAGAGACACCACTATAACACACAGACACCACTATAACACACACAGACACCACTATAACACACAGACACCACTATAACACACAGAGACACCACTATAACACACAGAGACACCACTATAACACACATACACCACTATAATACACAGACACACTATAACACACACAGACACCACTATAATACAGACACCACTATAATACACATACACCACTATAATACACAGAGGCACCACTATAACACACAGACACCACTATAATACACAGAGACACCACTATAACACACAGACACCACTATAACACACACAGACACCACTATAACACACAGACACCACTATAACACACAGAGACACCACTATAACACACAGAGACACCACTATAACACACATACACCATAAGGTCTTGGCGTGGCACCTTGAGACACTACGTTAAGTCCCACACCATTACACTATACATTCCAACCTTTACTATATATCCAGGGACCTGTTAGTTATCTTTAATATAATAATAAATAAATATAAGGTTTTTAAATCCTTATAAACTGAGGAATTAATAAACTTCATGTAAAGTTCCTAAGAGCTAAAAACCACATGACAATTTAATACACTAGTAACATCCTATAAATCTATAACGTATAGTATTTAATATATACTTCTTAGATAGCTCGTTGAATACTATAAGACTATAATACTGGTTTTTTACGTACCGGGGGCTGTGGTTCATAAAATAAAACACTTTTGGTAGCTGTCAAGTCTCATCAAAACACAAGCTGTCTGCTGCTGACGTCACATGCCGCGTATCACCCCGGAGTAGCCATCAGTCTATATATATTCTATTTATTATCTATATTACCATTAAATATACATATAAATCATTCAAATAATATAATATGTATTTATTTCTTTTTAATTTTACTCATTTTATAGGGTTAATATTACCCCGTTAGGTTGTATAAATGTGTATTAGTTTTGCAGACTATTGCTATGTGATAATATTACTACAACAAATCTATCCACAATTGTATTAACATAATGGTGATAATTAGTTTATTTAATAATTTTTCCAGTAAAATTATGAGGATATATAAATAGTAAATAGTAATTCATGGTTTCCTATCATAAAAATAATGGTTATCGATTTTCGTCTTTTGAAAACTAGGACATATGACAAAATACTTAGTGTATAATTTATTGTATATTTTGTTAATTAATTGAGTAGAACAGTCAATTTCCTCCTTTATAATACTAAATAACTATATATTCACTAAATACAAGTACCAAAACTTTTACCGAGAACTGTACTTGCAATAAAAATTTAATATAGGGTAGAACAACTATCTAGGAAGTAAGAATTATTAACAAATATATATCCAACTGAGTTATTAAATGCTAAATATAATATTCTCTGGATTATTTTTTCCCTGTTCAATACTTTACCTGCAATGGCGACTGGTTAGGTGTTGAATTCTACCTGTGTGTACTTGGCATAGTTACCTCGTCATAATTACAGGTATATTGATTACTGGATCAATATATACTACAAAATGGTGTAATAATTATCAATGCTTGTCTCTTGCATATTTTTTCGGTAATCCCCCATATTAAATTAACTCTTATTTACCATTTCATAATCACCAAGAGTCATTTAAATAAGTTCTATCAAATTTACATCTCATTGTAATTATTGATCAATTTAATATGTATAAGAATAATGTAGCTGTTTAATTAGGATCTGGTGGACAAGGTGTGATAGCTGTTTTAAAACCTATGTCTACTCAGTTGTGTATTACTATAGAAAAATATACTATAGTTCTGTATTACTGTAATGAAAAGTACTATTTTGAAGCCCAGTACTGGTAGACTGTTCCATAGGTCTACCTCCGTATGTACAAGGAAGTACTTTTATATTCGTCCTGCACAATGACAAGCTTAAATTATGCTCCATTGTATTGGTGATGTATAGACTTAAATAATAAATAGCTTAGGTTCATATTTTTCATCCCTTTCAAGATGAATGATAATCTATTTACTTTTCAATTTGTATATTTAGATGTGAATTTATACAACTATTGGAAGGAACTAATACAATATGGTTGATCTATTGTTGCACATTCAATACAATGCATTAGTTATATATTATTAATTATTTCCTCTCATGACTCTACAGTATACAGTAATTATACCAGAGTAACTACCTACAGTATACAGTAATTATACCAGAGTAACTACCTACAGTATACAGTAATTATACCAGAGTAACTACCTACAGTATACAGTAATTATACCAGAGTAACTACCTACAGTATACAGTAATTATACCAGAGTAACTACCTACAGTATACAGTAATTATACCAGAGTAACTATCTTATCTACAGTATACAGTAATTATACCAGAGTAACTACCTACAGTATACAGTAATTATACCAGAGTAACTACCTACAGTATACAGTAATTATACCAGAGTAACTATCTACAGTATACAGTAATTATACCAGAGTAACTACCTACAGTATACAGTAATTATACCAGAGTAACTATCTACAGTATACAGTAATTATACCAGAGTAACTACCTACAGTATACAGTAATTATACCAGAGTAACTATCTACAGTATACAATAATTATACCATAGTAACTACCTACAGTATACAGTAATTATACCAGAGTAACTACCTACAGTATACAGTAATTATACCAGAGTAACTATCTACAGTATACAGTAATTATACCAGAGTAACTATCTTATCTACAGTATACAGTAATTATACCAGAGTAACTATCTACAGTATACAGTAATTATACCAGTAACTACCTACAGTATATATCTACAGTAATTATACCAGAGTAACTATCTACAGTATACAGTAATTATACCATAGTAACTACCTACAGTATACAGTAATTATACCAGAGTAACTATCTACAGTATACAGTAATTATACCATAGTAACTACCTACAGTATACAGTAATTATACCAGAGTAACTATCTACAGTATACAGTAATTATACTCAACAGATTACCATGTTTTTCATCAACATGTGTTTCAGGTCACATTCTGATGCTATGGTTGGTGCCAGACCTGAGGAAGATGAGACAGGTTTCTAATTGAATAAATAGGTCTTTAAAATTTCACAGCATCTCCAAGATTTATGTATTTTCCGTCTGTAGGTTACTGAGTGCATTTATTTACTCAGAAACCACAGTGAGTAAATTAAATGACTGTATTATTCACTTAAGTTCATAACTCTCAAAATGTACTGTATTTTGAATATGATGCAAGGTATACATTTAAAACTCTATTATTTAATATGGGACATAGGTATCAACATTATGGAACACTTATACAAAAATATAAACTATTTTCTGCTGTACAAATATCTAGAAAAATGAGAGAGGGTTCTTTAAATTCCACTTTACTATACAGTCTAGACCAACTGACTCCTGTGTTATCAGCCAGAGTCTATGGGTAGCTATGATTAACAGAACAGCTAAAACCTTTCTATTTACAATTATAATCTTTAAAAAAAATTCTTGTTGGCATCACCTTCAGCTAAAAGAGATTACTGTCTCATTAGATCTATTCTGGATGGTCCTTACTTATAAAATCTGTAGTAAAAACATGAGGAAAAAAATGTTTCAACAACTTTCCTCAAGATCCCTGATACACTACTCCAAGCCAGCCCCTGGATTAGCCACTCGATGCAATGATGCTTTGTAACAGAGTCAAATGAGAGTTATGGAGCATAAAACCCAAGTGACAGCAAGACTCTGACTTCACCTAGACCTCTTATATTGAACTATGGTTATGAGGGAAAGGTGTTTGAACTGAATGATTGAGTTAGATTTTGGAACTATGGTTTATAATCGTTACACTTTAGCTGATGATACAGGAATCCATCTGGCCAAACAGTAGTTTCTAAAAGGTGCTGCTGATTTGAGAGATAATTCTAACTACTGTAATTTATTTCTCCCTATTCAATTTCTTCGTCTTTTATACATATATCCTCAGTTTCTTCCTTCATGGGACAACTAACATCTGAAAATGATGAATTTATTTCACTATCAACAGAAACTTCTGGTACTTGTGAACAGAGTTTGGTCTTATAATTATCTATGCTATCATGATTATCAGAGTCACAACTGAGGTAATCTTTCTTTATGTTATGACAGTTCAAGTTTATTCCATCACTTGCCTGAACATTTAACTTGTCTTCATCCATATGATCACCAAGACAAAATGAATTCTCAGCACTGCTTCCTGGGATACTTTCATTTTCATTTAATATATTCACTGTGCGTGGATTTGTATGCAGAATAACACACCGTTTAGAGGTGCTATATCCGTTATCATAAATTCTACATCCATTATCCTTTTCTCCTATGTGGATTATCTTGTGTTGCTCAAGTTCAGTTTTCATGAGGAATCTTTGCCCACAAGTCTCACACACAAAATCTTTCGGTGTTGTGTGGATTTTCACATGTCTCTTCAGTTTACTTATCAGTGAGAACTTCATCCCACATTCTTTACACTGATGAGGTTTCTCTTGTGAATGTGCTGCCAGATGCCTTGTTACTCCACCTTTCCTGGGAAATGTTTTACCACACATGGGGCAGGAATATGGCCTCTTTTGCATGTGAGTCTTCTTATGTTCAACAATATTACATTTGTGTAAGAATTTTTTACTACAGACATCACACTGGTATGGAAGAACATCACTATGCACTTTAACGTGTTTTTTAAGCTCACAGTTTTGTATGAATGCTTTGCCACATTTTTCACACTTATATTTTCTATCACCACTATGCCACTTCATATGACTTGTTAATTTTCCTTTCTGTGTAAACTTCTTGCCACACTCTTTACACTCATGAGGTTTATGACCTGCATCAACCAACCTATGCATTTCTAAAGTATGTTTATTAGTGAACACCTTCCCACACATTTCACACAAAAACTGCTTCTTCAAGGAATGAATTTCTTTATGTTTATTTAGGTCCGAGTGTGAGAGAAAAAGTCTCTTACAAATCTCACACTGATGTGGCTTCTCCCCAGTATGAGTACCTGAATGATACAGCAAACTAGACTGTTGAGTGAAGGTTTTCCCACATACTTCACACACATATGGCTTCTCTCCCATGTGGATTCTCATGTGAATTGTTAGATTACATTCTGATGCAAACATTTGGTCACATTCTGAACAAGAAGATGTCTTCTCTCCATTATGAATCTTGGAATGATATAAAAAACCTGATCTCTGGGTAAATCTTTTGTCACATACGCCACACACGTATGATTTCTCCCCTGTATGTATTCTCATGTGTTTAGTAAGATTGCCCTTTTCTTTAAAGCTTTTGTTACAGACAGAACAATCAAATGCTTGCTTTGCTGAGTGAAGTAACATATGCTTCATTAAATTTGTCATAATGTCAAATTTTTCCCCACAGAAAGAACAAGGAAAGAGTTTTGAATTAGATGAACCAACAGAGTGAGATTTGCTATCTGGTGTTGATTTACAGTCAACATTATCATCTAAACCATCTTTAGTATTATCACTGCAGTCATCATTTAATCTATTTTCTCTATCTTTTTCACTGCTAACAATACTTTTACCCAAATCCTCTTCAAGACATTCATCCCCTTCACTATTATCACATGAATCCTGTTGAATAATTACAGGTTTTGAGGTGATATTGTTCTCAAAACAATTTTCATTATTCACTTGGTCAACCCTACCGCTGTCTGCACTCTTAATATTTTCCTCAGTTGTAGATGATGTAAAAGTCATACAATTCGCCATTATATATTACTTTACAATTCTAATAACTCAAGACACCTTTAATACCTCTCAAGACACTTTTAATACCTCTCAAAACTACTAATAAAGATTACACATCACTACACCAACAGCACATCACAAAACTCCAAAGGGATGTGTAAGAGCCTCGTATCCGTCACCTACTGATTCACGGCAGCAATTCTTTCTATACGATTCTTGAGCCGCATCCCTGTCCAACCATTCTGCTTCCTCGTCTTGACCTTCATCCACACCCAGAGTATGAGAGCTTTCAGGTGATCCAATTTCCAAATAAGAAATCTGAAAGAATAATTAGTTTTAAGTATCTGTTGTCCATAATTTGATATCTGTATACTGTAATTGTCCAAATGGCATCCCAAAAATTTTAATTACTTTTTTAAATGTTAATTACTCATCGCCTATGGTTTTTCTAGGTCAATTTTTGGTGTGTTATTCTCGGTGTAGTTAAGTAGTTAGCCTCATCTTTAGTCACCATTTCAGGATGTGTTGTTCGATTCTGTTATTTTTTCCTACACATGTTCTTTGGGTGATAGTAAGTACTGTAATTAAATTATATAACTTTTTCATTTAAGTTTAAGTTTGGTAAAATTATCACTTCGGTCATCCACCGATTTGGAAGTACACTGTAGGTTAGAATAGTTCAAAACACGTCCCAAACCATCAGAAAACATAAATTCAACCTAACTTAACCTAACCCAAACCAAACCAAACCAACCCAACCTAACCTAACCTACATTAACCTAAACTTCTTTCAGACGGTGGTAACTTAAAATCCCAAAATTCACTGGATGACCGAAATGATAATAATACCTTAAGTTTTTTCCCTCTATCTTCGATCATAAACCACCGAAATGGGCTTTGTAATCGAATAAATCAATTATATGCCGTAAATGTGGAGCCGTATTGAACTCCTTAGCTGAATCCCCCTTCAAGAGACCATTCCCCAAAGAAATGACAGGTTTCACAGCTTCCTGACTGCCATCACTGTTCTCTATCCACCTTAATATTATGGTAAGTTCCTTCTGCTGAATATGCCGGGGGAGTCCAGGGGCAGAGAACCCATCTTAGGAGGTGAGGTGAAGTTAGGTTCTATTATGGTTTATTAGGGACGTTTTTAGCAAGCTGTATGTGTGTGTGTGTGTGTGTGTGTGTTTCTCATCAGACCATTCAAACATGTAATGTATTTCGGCCTTATCCACCCTGAATCATATATATTTTCAAGAGTGAAAGCTGAAACTTAGTCTTTTTATTACTGCTTTATTACCTGCCAGCTTGATTTTGATATTTTCTTAAAGCGTTATGTTGACAGCTCCCTTAGCAACACATAGCAACCGTGTGTAAGTAAATACATGTTCAGTGTTAGAAAACTACCACGGACAAAATGGCGAACCTATATGTTTATTTTTTGGTGATACAGCCAAACTAGACTTTCCTGACCTAACCGCAAACTAACATATGATCAATTTGTTTAAATAGATTAAATAATAGTACGCTTGAGTTAAATTCTTAAAAAAATAAAATGTTTTAGTAATAATGTTCGATATAATTTTCTAACATTACGTGTTGGTTTGTTTACATCGCATTCCTGCAGGCTGAGATGAGGACATTTGACTCGTCTTCTTCCTGAAATTATCTATTTGTGGCACCACCTGGATAAACAGTTATGATGCTGCAGAATATTCAGATCAGAGATGGAGAATATACCAAGACGATATATTCATTGGTTAGTATGTTTATATATTAAGAATTTGAATTGTTTAGGGTGGACGAGGTGTCTCTACCCAGGGCGAGTTATGTACTTTTTCAACCAGACTTACCCAGAGAGACAAATCGGCTGTAGGTCTGTAATATCTCCTTCACCACTGGAACGGTATCCAAGGAATCCCGTCCGTAACACTTGTCAGAGCTCTCCTTGGGGGGAGGGATGCATCAACAAAACTGGCAAAACAGCACTCCCAAATGACTGAGTAATTGAAGAATGCCGATACTGCTACATATGCAATAATCACACTGCAATGTTACAAAAGATGTTACACAGGAGATGGCAATGTAGGGTCCTAGGCTGTGAAAATGAGGGATGGACCCCCCCCTCCCCCCCCACAAAAAAAAAAGAATATTGATTCTTCACATTAATCAACCTGATATTTGAATACAGCATTACACGTTATTATGTTCATGTAAGATAAGTTATTTATTCTCTTTCAGATCAAGGAGCAGCGGTACAGTGAAGCCATACAAATACTGAATCACATTATTGAGTCTTACCCAAGTGTAAGTAAAGTTGTAATTTATAACCATTATTGCTGCATAGAATAAATACACCTTTACAGACTTTAACTGTGTATTTGTGATAGGTAAATAATTTATCCCAAGGAAATCATAATTACCTTAGGTTCCCTCCCTGGCTAGAATGGATGACTTTGTTCCCTCCCTGGCTAGAATGGATGACTTGGTTCCCTCCCTGGCTAGAATGGATGACTTGGTTCCTTCCCTGTATGCTAGACCTTGCACACTCTGCAATGAAATGAGTACACTGTCAAAGATGTTGTCAGTGGTGAAGTAAGCCCACAGTGTACTAACATTCTGCCAAGGAGGTGCAGTAATCCATTACCTGTTGCATGCTAAGAATCTGGGGATCAACACCTCCACCATAATGGGAAAACTCTTGCAAGGTTGAAAAATATGATTCCTTATTACCACATAGAAAGTAACATGGAAGATGCACATAACAGCAGTAACAGTAATGTAATTAATACTTTACCTTATTCTCAATCATAACCTGCCTCACATGTTATGAATATTAATTTTGAAGATAATACGAAGCTTCATTTACATTACATTAAGAGTTACAACTACATATGGAAGTTAACTGATGTACAGTGAGTTAGTTTGGCTGTTGTAAAGTGAGATGAAGGAAAGAAGGATGATTGTATGTATGACTTACAGAACAAACTGTATTGATATTAGCAGCGGAGGACAACATATTGAGTAATAAGGTACAATTGCAATATTGTATACAAAAGGAAGTTCATTTGTTCCCACATATACAATCATTAGGGTCAAAATGTTTCATAGATACTGCATGGAAAACACTGCAAACTTTTAACAAATAAGGGAGGCATATTTTAGCAAATTTATCGTCCACAATATAGATTAAAACAAGTGAATGCATGTTAAATTAAGGGAATATCTGGCATGTCCTCATAAAAGGTGGCTTGAGTATCCGATGGGAATATTATATATGAATGGCATGATATGATCCTCAGTTATATGGCAGATAGGAACTAAATACAGTTATGGCTTATGGCATGTCTAAAGGTATATTTCACCAGCTCTGTATCATTCCCTCACAGTAGACAACATCAGTGGGTGTATGGATATGTTCTCTATACTGTATTGTCATTAAGTTTATGTACTGTATTTATTTATTTATTTCAAAGTATCAATAGCTCTTTTTATTTACTTGTTGTAAAAGCATATCCAATTTTAAGCCCAGAATTTCTGTATATTTTTACTAAGATTTGTACTGAACTAAGATGGGCTCCAAGAATATAGGAAATTGAGAAAAAGTCTTCAAGAAAATACAGTACCATAGTGTTGATAGTTTTATAACACAATACTTGTACAGTAGTTTGTCTCTACATTTCTCTTATTGTATATAAATTGCATCTGAAGCACAAACAATATTAGCAATATATATATACAGGTATATATATACAGTATACTTGTTTTATATAATTATCAGAAATCTCTGTTTTGATTCTCACATTGTATATGTTTGCATCTGAGGGACTACCTTTAATTTCTCCCTCTACAAGATGAGCGTAAGTGCCACCACATTATAAAATTGTATACAATGATTATACTTCCTGACTCAAGCATGATTGCACCCTGTTTCCCCTTTCATATGTAAATGCTGAGCACGTTGACAGCACCGAGCACTGTCTGGATGCCTGTAACAGATGCTATAAAAGTAATGACATATAGTATTTGTATTTGTCTTAAGCATTTCTGTTGACTGAAGTGTGGGATATAAAGTAATGTTGTATTAGCCTCCTTATAAAGCTAATGTGTTTGTCTGCTTGTGGTACCTGTAGCTGTATCTTACACTTGTCAGACATGCACTCACCAAACTGACTTCATCATCTGATCTTTTCCTTACTGTACTGTACTGTACTGTACTGTACTGTACTGTACTGTGCTGTGCTGTACTATCATGTTATTAATTCCTATACTAACAACACTTACTTTCTCTTTTGTAGTTTTGTGATTTTATTCATTAATTTATAAATGATTTATGTGGTGTGTGTTGTAGCTGTTCCTCCAAGAGGTCTGCCACTTAACTAAACTCTTCTGTTTCTTGATTGCCAAGTGAAAACTCTGATGTTTATCACCTGAATTTTTTTAATGATAGGAAAAATATTAGCAGTGAATTGAGCAATGTGGCAGCATGGTGTTAAATTGTGTTTAATATTTATGGTTCTGACAACATCAAAGATATCACTTAACTTATGTTGAATAAAATACAAAATTGAAGGAAAAATTAAGTTTGTACGGTTCTGCCAACTTGACTTACTGAACATTCGAAATTTGACAAGTTATTTCTTCATAGACTAAGAAATGTAACTTGAATATTGATCACCATGTGGGAATATATATTTAATTACCTGAAAAAGTAATGTAAATATTCCTTTATTTATTATGGAAACCTTTTTAAATTACAGTACCTAGTTATACACAGTAGTACTTTTTTTATTGTGTTAAGCATCAAAGATTTACAGCAATGGTCTCATAATAATGGTATTATTTCAGTCCCGAGCTGCCTTGTCTCTCCTAGCATACTGTTACTTCCACATGCAAGACTATGCCAACTCTGCCAACTGTTATGAACATCTCACCATCATATTCCCTGAAATTGAGGACTACCGCTTATACTATGCACAAGCCTTGTACCAGGTTAGTCTACAGTACACAGTTTCATATGTAAGATTTTCGTAATTTAAGGTTTGTTATGATGCATTGTTTTGTCACGTTTGTATTTTCATAAACAAGATCCTCTGTCATGAAGTTCCTTTTATGTCAATACAATAGTTATGTGTTCAAAAGGTTCTCATTTAACTTCAACTTACAAAAAAACAAACACATTCAGGGTTTGTCATCATCATTTAACACTATATCATGTTACCCCCGTCAAGACTTGCCTGTACGAGGAGGCCATGAAAGTGACGCACCAGATTGAGTCACCAGAGTATGCCGGCCGCATCACAAAGCTTCAGGCAGCCATCAAGTACGGAGAAGAGGACCTCCCAGGTGCCAAGAGCCTGGTGGATCAGTGTCCCTCAGATGACCCAGAAACAGAGGTCAACCATGGATGTCTACTCTTTAAGGTCAGGTCAAGCTGAAGTGTGTTCAACTTGTATATGAAGTGTTGACTTATGTGTTTCAACAATGTATGTAGCCCATTTTAATTACAATGATAAGTATTATATCATCCACAAGAGGTTAGTAGAATCCACTAATGCCTTCACTACAGGTGGATGCCACTTTTAATATTTTAGTCAGCTCAGAGGGAACCCCGTACGGAATGGGTTAAACAAAAATGGTTCTACTAATATATTCATTAAGGCCCAGTTTTTTATATTGTTTATATACTAATGCTTGACTTGTAACACTTAGGAAGGACGGTACGAGGAGGCCTGTCAGAAGTTCTCCAGTGCTTTACAAGTGGCTGGCTACAAACCTCATCTCTCATACAACATTGCACTCTGTCACTATCGTCTCAAGCAGTACGCTCCTGCCCTGAAGCACATTGGTGAGGAGGGCTGTACTTATGTTCCTGTGATGCAGACCCTTTACCTCCTAAAACTATAAAGGGACTTTGTACTCTGTCTCTTTCAAACTCTATCGCACTTACATTGTCGTGATTTCTGCCCTATATGTGTAATGTTTTACCGCCGAGTCTTTTTTGTGATTACTCGTGACTTGTTTATGACAGCTACGACTCCTGTTATCACATTACCATTAACAAAAGTGTGTACAGTAGCTTATTTTTTCTTGCTTAGAGAAGTCTCTCAAAAATAGAGAAATAATTATACAAAAATTCCCTAAAACATTCACCAGTGTGGGAAAATTCGTTTATATTTTCCCTGAATTTTACCAAGAAATAATCTACTTACCAATACTCTGAAAGTTAATAAGCAAATTGGCTTTAAATTTATAGTAAATAAAAGCAAATTAAACCTTCACAAAATTATTATATTCTTCCTTAAATTCCCGCAGCGGACATTATCGAGCGTGGTATTCGAGAACACCCAGAGCTTAGTGTAGGCATGACCACTGAGGGTATTGAGGTACGGAGCGTCGGCAACACACTCACGCTGCACGAGACGGCGCTGATTGAAGCATTCAACCTGAAGGCTGCCATAGAGTACCAACTGAAAAACTGTAAGAACCAATTTATCCCTTATACAATATTACAGTATTTTCCTTTTCAGTGGTGAGATAAATAACATCTTTGCTTATAATGTCTTAAAACTTTACAGGAGTGAGCTATTAATCCTAACTGTACCTGAGTTATTTAAGAGTTTTACACTATTCAGTCTTATCTTGGATCATCATTAAGGAGAATTGTCTTCCTTTTGGTAATAATAATGTAAACTCCAGTGACAAACTCCAAACACAGCCATCAATATAACGATAATCAAATGAGCTATTCCTTAGGTTAGGTTAGGTTAGGGGTCCTCTCTATACTGAATAAATCACCTGGTGTTAGCCAAATAAAATACCAAAAGTGGTGTTCCTGTAGTGAAGGGGTTAAAACAAGATGAGCTTTGGCAAAACTTCCCTTAAAGATTTACGACTATTGTAATTCTTAAATGTGTTGTTCCTGTCCCAGATGAGGCGGCTCGTGAAGCACTGACCGACATGCCTCCTCGGTCAGAAGAAGAGCTTGATGCTGTTACACTCCACAACCAAGTACTGTACATTATCTACATTTTGTTCTGTATTTTGAATTTATTATCATTAGTACTGTACTCCATTACAAACATTGATTCTACTAGTATATATTACAAGCTAAAAACTATCTTATTTCCTTATCATATTACATGCTCCATAATTTTTATTCACATTCGCTATAGACGACACATCATTAAAGTGAACACCTAGCAAGAGTCTCCCGAGCGTCCGATTAACAAGATTCCACTGTACAATACGATCTTTTATTTTACGTGAAAACCAAAAATTAACTTGTAAATCATCATCTTCACAATCATAACAGAATTACCATAACAAGGTAATCATTTATATAAATACGGTGATATTCTGTACTATAATTCCTCTATTATTCTCAGGCGTTGATGAACATGGAAACAAAACCGACTGAAGGATTTGAGAAGCTACAGTTCCTCTTAGGTCAGAATCCATTCCCGCCAGAGACCTTTGGTAATCTCCTTCTGCTGTATTGTAAGTATGAATATTACCACCTGGCCGCTGATGTCCTCGCTGAAAACGCTCACCTCACGTATAAATATTTAACACCAGTAAGTAGTGAGATTGTGGCAGAGATGTGAATTATTTTTATAGGATTAGTTATTTAACGGTAAAAACTAAATAAATAATGATGTTATATTGACTGCAGCTAGACGATACATGATATAAATAAGTAATGATTTTTTCTTCTTCAATACTGTATTTTGTTGTTTTTACTTTATGAGTTTCTTATTATCATCTAAGTAAAATTGTATCTTTTCAGCATCTTTTTGACTTCCTGGATGCCTTGATCACCCAACAAACCGCAGCGTCAGAAGCATACCGTAAATTTGACGAGTTGGGGTCACGTCATATCGAGTTGCTGCGGAAACTGACGAAGGTGGTGCAGGAGGCCAGACAGAATCACGATGATGATCAAGTCAAGACCGCCGTCAATGAATACGAAGAAGTGTTAGAAAGGTAGTCTTATATATTCCTCCTTCAACAAGCTGTATAATTATAGGTTATAAATTGGGGTCGAACATCAAATTCTCTTTAATTTCCCACAAAAATCTCCCGTTTTTCCAGAATTCATCAAGCTTTTATGAAATTACTGAGTATCTAAGTATCTATACAGTCAGACCCCATAATTGTTATTCTCTTCTTCGACTCGGAATAATATTTAGTTAATTTGTTCGAGGATAACCAACGAAGCCACCCAAGTATTAACCAGATGCGCCATTGGTTAACTTCGCTGGTCGGATAGTAAGCGGTGTTTGAAACTTATTTTGGTATAGTTTAGTCTAATGTTATCTATTTTTTAGGTATATTCCGGTGTTGATGGCTCAGGCTAAGATATACTGGGATCTGGAGAATTATTCCCAAGTGGAGAAGATCTTTCGGAAGTCGGTCGAATTTTGTAATGAATCTGACGTGTGGAAGCTGAATGTGGCCCACGTTCTGTTCATGCAGGAGAATAAGTTTAAAGAGGCAACCGGGTTTTATGAGCCCATCGTGAAGAAGAACTATGATAATGTAAGGAAATGTGACTGGTAGTATTTGCTGTATATATATTTGGGTAATTTGAGAGCTAGCAATTAGATTATATTGTTTTAATTTCTATTTTAATTCAAGGGATATTTAAAATAGCCTTTTCTGAGTATTTTAAAACTAAAGAAGATTATTACCTATCTCTACTTTCACTATAATTAATTAGTAACTTTAATGTACTTTTCAGGTATAAGCAAATATGTCCAATACATTATCCCACTGTTATTAATGTGAGCAACATATGATACACTGTGGACAGGGACAAGTTAAGTCACAAAGAGGCTTGAGGTGCTTATACTTATTTCAAATTTCTTAAACTTTAATCGTGTTTCTGGCTTTGTGTGTGTCTGTACCTTATCTCCCCCAAGCACTTCATATGGACCTACCCAGTAAATGAAGTCTTTCTAACTCCTTCAATTATTTCCTCCTCAGATCCTCAACGTGAGTGCCATTGTTCTAGCCAACCTGTGTGTGTCCTACATCATGACCAGCCAGAATGAGGAAGCTGAAGAACTGATGAGAAAGATTGAAAAGGAAGAAGAACAACTAGCCTATGAAGATCCTGAGAAGAAGATTTATCACTTGTGTATTGTCAATCTTGTTATTGGGTAAGGCTGAACAGGTATCAGTATAGTGTGCAGTCACTCATAAAAGTCTTGTCTCCTCTCCTGCCATTCTACAAAGCATTCAGACTTAAGAACCTGATGTATTATTTGGTCCATAAATGCTTCGGATTCACAAGTGTAGAGGAGGAAAGGTGTGACAGGACTTCCATGGGGGATTGTATTTGTACTCCCTTGCCCAGTACTTACTCCCTTGCCCACATACAGTACTTACTCCCTTGCCTACATACAGTACTTACCGGTACTCCCTTGCCCACATACCTATTCCCACACCCACATACCTGCTACCATGCAGTATTTGTTTCCGTGACAAGTGCTCTTTATGTCTCCAGTACACACACACAAAGATAAGTGATACCTCTCATTCCAGGACCCTCTACTGTGCCAAAGGTAATTACGAGTTTGGTATCTCCCGCGTGATCAAGAGTCTAGAACCATATAATAAGAAGCTGGGAACTGACACCTGGTTTGTATTACCTTAGCATTTAGTTTTGTCATTCGAGATTAAATTGTTGTGGTCGGATAAGCAAATTGTCATAACATATTTTTGGGGGGTGATATTTCAACATACGGATGATTGTATTAATGTTCATATTTAAACATCATCAATAATCTGCAATTGAATGTTGATCATGTGGCAATTATACTTAAAAACTTTTGTTCATGAAAACATTAAATATGTAGTTTTGATATATAAATTCATCATGTAGTTATTACTAGTACAGTCCTGTAATAGAAACCTTTGCTATCCACCCAGTGTGTGTCTATTAACTATCCACACCTTATACTATTATTTACAGGTATTATGCCAAGAGATGTTTCCTCTCCCTCATCGAGAACTTGGCCAAGCACATGATAACTGTTAAGGATTCGGTGATTCAAGAGTGCATACAATTTCTGGAGCACTGTGAAGGTGAGATTACTTAAACCCTTTGTGTACAGTACAGGGTCGCCTCTGAGCTGAATGAAATTATCTGATGTTGGCTAAATATAACATTAAAAGTGCATCCCTGTAGTGAAGGGGTTAATATCTAGCTCCTTGCATGCTGAACTGTATACCTGCATTGTCTGTATACATGCCAAACCAATTGCAAGTTTGTATGATGACTTTACTGCATAAATATCTACATTATATCCTATGGTAATCTCTCAACCACTATCTACTATTGTTATATTATTTCAGTATATGGGAGGAATGTAAAGGGGGTGATTGAACACCCACTGGAGGAAATGGCCATCCATCCTGGGAAGAACACAGTCACTTTTGAGTCTAGACTACTGAAGGCTCTGCTTCTACAAATTCAACAGATGTAAAATAAGGGAAAACCTAAAGACCTTCCTCCATCTTAACCACACCAAAACAACCTGAAGAAGGAGGTAGCTAATCTTCAGGTGATCCATACAAGATAAAAATCATAATTGGTCTTATATTTTGACCATACAACAAACACTCAGTAGTGGCCTTTAGAGTACCATGAAGAACCAAGTGTCAGAGGGTGGTGCCAGGTAACCATGTACGGTACTGTAACATGAACCTATTGTATACCCTATGTATATCTTGCATATTTTCTGGTACTTAGTGTTAGATGAACAATCCACCTATATTTATATCTCAGTATTTATGCACAAGTATCAAAATAAATGTCAATGGATGAATTATAAAGAGAATAAAGCTTGAATATAACAACAATATTATATATGGTAAAGCGATCTCTTCCTTGTGTTCATATATGATTCTGTTTCCTTTAATCTTCATGTGCAGTATATTTTAGTATTGATTAAAATGGCTCCTTTTCTATATTAAACTATTTAATTCTTAATTCACATAAAAAATTGTGTCAAGATCTCAGCATTACTGTACTCGGTATGCCAAGTAATGTACAGTATATTTTGATTCTTCAGAATAAACTATAATTTGTTGTAAATTCAAGGAAACAGACTAGGAAGAAATAATCCAATGCTGAATGGTTCAACATTGATCACTAATCTATTTATGGGTTATATTAGGAGTTTAAAGTTGACAATTTTTTAATCTGCAATGTGTGTGAAGTATTTATTGTACAGTACGTATATACTGGGGCAAGTTTGATCCCCTAATACGACCCGTAACTCTGTGACAAAAGTGTCTTAATTGCCTTTTAATTAAATGTTTGCAGTGTATGACTAATGTATATTTTGATGTTAATCTAAAAAAGTTTCTTATTTCATATAGTTTTTACACCATAACACTGTACCTGTGATAAATACAACCATTAAATTTATGCTTTATATTATCTCCACAAAGAGATTTTTGTCATATTTATGTAAAGTATAACATGTAATATGTTCAACTAATTCTGTATACAGTACGGTAGCCTTCAGTTATTGCTCCACATAAATGACTCGGAATGTTGGGGAAAAAACTATAATATAAAAAGTGGTGTAATTCAGTACAAATTATGGGATTAGGGACCAGAGGCCCCCCCAAACAAAGCTTAAAAGGTTTAACTTGTGTTTATTTAGTAGACACAAGCAAGAACTATACTTGGCAGTGTTCTGGTACACTTCTGGGAGAGGGGATCACAGCCTACTGGCTCCGACCAACTGTGTTTCACAGAGTCTGTGGTAATACTGGACGACGGTTGTGTGCCTGTTGCACTTTTAAACCTCACTGCCTGAGCCTGTGATGCTTGGAAACCCTTGAAAATATCACAGGTCCATGCCTGTGGCACTTGAAGGTCCTCTAAAACCTCATGGGGCCAAACTTTTGAGACACCCTGTACAATTTTGATCTAGTTCAGTGATGTGTTAGTGTTGTTATTTCAACTGTGTATTAATGTAAATTCTTAATGGATTGAAATGAACTACTTCTTAAAACATTTAAAATTTGATTTATACATTTCATTTAAAAAAATTTTTGTATAGACGTTTGGATGCAGTAATCCCATCACCCGCCCATGGCACGATTAGTACCAGAGGCTCATAGTCTTACCTTCAGCAAAAATAACCGGGATACTTAAAAATAAACTTATAAAATATATATGAAAACAAAAATGATTGATGATGGTTGAAGGGAAACAAATGTCCTGGTTGTGAGGAAAAAAGAGAGAGAGAAAAAGAACACCGTTGGGGAAAGGAGAGTCTGTAAGGGCGAGTGATGATGTGTAGAGCCACTTGAAGACACTACATTTGTGATAAGTCTGTGTCTTCTCTTAGTTGTGACCACTTGGCAATACTTTAGAATAGGAATTGGACTTACATGAGTGAGGACAAAAATTACCACATAAAAAAAACCTCCATTTACACCCATCTGGTTTATGCTTTACAATAAAATTAAAAACGAATAATACATCGACTATTAAATGAACTTCCGTAGGTGTTACTGTACAAATACATTGATTCAATACAATCTGAGTGTAACTTTCGGCACAGTAAACACAGAGTGTAAGAATGTTAAAAAACATATTAACAGCTGCAAACTTAACCTTTAACTTTAATATCTTGTAAAACGACTACAGTATGTAATTAATTCCGTATATAAAAGAATAAAATAAAATATATTTTGTCCTGTTATGCATAAAATAAATTTGCCAAAAACCCAGTTAGGTAACCTTCCTCGACATATATTCACAAATAAAGAAAAAAGATCTATTTACAATCACTCATCATCATCACTAATTTAAAAGTAATTTTCCACGCTTGTGTAAGTGAGATAGTTTAACCTACAGATACAATCAATAAAATGTACTGCATAGCTATTAGTTAACTACAGCGTCTCAAATATTCAGCTTGATACACAGTGCCTTTCGTCAGTTCATTATGGGAATACCACATTTGACCCGCCAGCCAATAAGAAGTATGGTTTTGTGAGTAGATAATGTGGTGGTATTCTCTGTGGGAGCAAATTTTAGTTAGTCTACGGCACTTCATTGTTTAATAACAGGCCAAGACGAGAGAAAGTGGACAGGGCTATTTGATATTACCATAATGAAGAGACTACAGACATGAAGAATGTGGCTCGATGCACACCACAACGGAATAACACCCCACCACTCCTGCCTGAACTCGTATCTCAAGGCTTGGGGAATCTGAATGCAGTCTACTAAGCCAAGGAACCCTCACATACTTAATACTATGCAATACATTAAACATTTACAAAGTACTAATTCTTGATAAACAACGCTGAATGAAGCTCCACGAAACCTTCCCTCCCACTAGTATCAAGAATGAGGGCCACATAATACTGAGCCTTAGAGTGCACCACTGTTGTTGAAATAGTCATCAAAGCTTGAGTCACACTCATTAACATCAGCACCTTCAGGGAATGTTGGAAGCTGAAAGAGTCAGAAAGTCAACAAATTAATTACTGTTCATCCACAATAGTGAAGACTTAAGATTAAAAACCATCCTTATATCTACAAGACTGACAAGACAGGAGTATCTACCCAACCTGCCTTATCTTATTTATAACTAAACTTCTTGCTTCCAGGCACTCATAAATGCCACGAAAAATACATTATGTATTTTTAAATTACAATTGCTGTGAGTTTTTTCTCTCTGGTGTCTCATCAAACTCTGCTGCCATATTAATGGAAACAGGAGATGAACCACAGAAAAATGAGAGCATTGTATATATTTCTTGAGTCACTCTTGACCTTCAAACACTTGGAAACCAAGTACCTCATCAAAATTAGGCATAAGAAAAACTCAGCCTGAAGAGCCCATTAGAGGATGAGTGAGAGGAGCTAACCCAGTAGCCAACAGAACGAAACCTTAACTGGAAGCAAAGTGTCTCTCATAAAGTCATATAAAAAATAATGTCCCTCTGGCATCAGGTCAGACTGCACACAGGTCACCTCACTAGGAGTAATAATAACTATGCTATGAGAAGTTTTTACAAGACTTTGCTCAACATCAGTAATAATGAGTGATGGAACCACCTTAGATCAATTATCCTGAAGTAAAATAAGCGACAGTATACTAGAGATAAACCTGGCACTTAGCAGAAGATTCCTTAAGTGGTGAAACCTGATTAAGAGGATGAAGAAAGTGGTAGACAACAGCAGATGAAAGTGGAAGGAAGAAGACCAAGAGGAAATTCTCAAGTGAAAGGAACTAAAGGAAGAAAGAATAAATAGAACAAATCAGAAGAGAATCGATGCATAAGATAGAGGCAAACCCCAAACAGTTTTATATACGAGTGAAAAAAATAGTGGTTAGGTTTTTTTTTAAATACATATTTATCACCGACTTACGAAAACTAAACTTGTAATAATTTCCGGTAACCCTAACAACAAGCAGCAGGAAGTTATAGGTACATGCCAGCAGTATTGAAGAGATGGATCGAATCAGTGAGCAAGTCAATGAAAACTTGAAGTTTGTCAGTGAAATCTTGAAGCATGTCAGCAAAATCTTGAAGTGTGTCAGTAAAATATGCCAAAAGAATGTGTCACACCAATGTAAAGACAAACTGAAAATTATATTGAGACTCACGGAATGTATGAATCATGTTGATAAAGTTAATAGTTGTGAGATATTCATGCAATTGGCTCAATCACCAATCCTTAATTAATGCAACTGATATTAATTTTCTAACACTATTTTAATGTCTTTGAAATTCCTTTAAAACCTTGAGTACGAGGACAACACCTCAAGTACGATTATTCAACCCTTTGAGTACAATGACAACACCACGAGTACGGTCATTTGACACTTGAGTACGATGACTTAACCACTTGAGCATAAGGAGTTGATAACTTAAGGGAATTTACTACAAATTGTTATTATTGTCACCTCTACAGTCACCTAGGGCGGCCATCACACCACATTCTAAATAAGGCAGCAATAGACCTAAAGCTGTAATGAGTTCAGAACACAAATACACCAAACATAAACACCTTTGACTTCTAATGCAAATCTGCAATCATGCAACTCAACTCATTATAACCAACTTATGTCAACTTTTACTTTATTTTCAGGGATGACGATGTTTAACCCCTTGTGTATGGGTCCCCCTCTGAGCTGAATAAAATCGTCTAGTGTTAGCCAAATTCCCATAGTGAAGGGGTTAATATGCCTGAATGTGGTTTAAGAGTGAAAGTTAATACAATACAATTAAAAAGGTGATAAAACTACCTCTTGCCTAACACTATAAAGCATGTAGTGTACAAGGGTTAGTGCTATAACAGTGTAACCAAGGAAGATTGACTACAATAGACAGACGATACTGAAAGTCTATAAAAAAAATTAACCTACACGTATTAATCATAACAAGCCTTGATATATACTCACCTTTAGCAGTTATACACAGCAAAATGCAAGTCATACATAATTACTAAAGACTATACACAGTATTTCCTTCCTCATATAAGTCTTCCCACAAAGTCAGAAATGTATTAAACTTACCTCCAGTAGGGAACGCTTACAAGTCTTATTCAGTGAAGTCTTCGAGCTCATGCTATCTTGGAGGGCCTTCCTGATTCCTCGTGGCCGCTGCTTCTGCCACTGTAGCTGATGATACATAATCTGTAGATCACCTCTGAAATGTAACATAACAGTAACTCATGTTAATCTGTAGTGGGAAAGTTAGCTGTAGTATAAAGTTTTAGTGTAAAGCCAATTTTCTTTAATATAAGGATTCATATCAGTGGTTCAATGTTGTTCTTGAGGCTTGTGTGTAATTGTGTAGATGATTATATAGTGTGTTGTTAGTCTCAAATAGTAATGTCAAGCCAAATTATAATCACTAAGTTAACTCTTACACTTGAACAATAACTCAGTTTAGTTGGGTTTATAAATATACCCCCCAAAAATAGAAAAAAATGCACACACACACACACACACATGTCTGTAGAGTTTATGAAATCATCAGCAATTAATACATAATGGTGTTTGTTCATACCTTCTATCAACAGACTGAGGTTCATTTGCTGGGGTGCGGGTGGAGGGCGTGAAGACATTAGTGGACGGCATCTCTTCCGACAGGCGGCCGAGCAGAGATGTGCGTGGTGTAATGACCGAGACACCCACATTCTTCCCCTTCCCTTGTGGAGTCCTGATGGTCAGACTATCATCAAGTGACGATGGCATGAGGAGGTTACCCAGCTGTCAAAGATAATATTAAGAATTAGATGAAATTTCCCGTGTCTTCTGCAGTCCTAAAGAGTCGGCCAATTCTCTTACACTCTGATCTCTCTGTAACAAACTACTGTACTCGTAAACAAACTACTCGTAATGACAACTGACAGAAACACCAACATCGTCATAATTTTCCAAGATACTCACGGCTTTCTTCTTCTTGGCAAAAGCTTCATGACTGTTGAAGAAGTCGTTATCCACCTCAGCTTCCTTGGCTATGGCCCTGACATAATCTTCCCTCTGCAGCAGGTACTTTAGGGTGCCTCTTTTAGCGGTTATTAATACCTCTGTAAAATATACCATAGTCAGAGAGGGAGTTACCTACATACTATACAGTTAAACCTCTATTTAATGGACTATATGGTGAGGAAAATCCATTATATCGAGGGTCCGTTAGATGTAAAACCTCCATCTAACGAACTATATAGAGAGAAAGTCCGTTATTAGGAGTTTTAACTTACATACAACATATTAATACATCTTCCTAAAAAACAGACGAGGAATAATCTATAACATAACCTACTGCAATCTAATCTAACTTAATCTAATCCCCCCCCCCTCCACAAGTAGTGTTAGGGTGTTTATCAGATGAAATAAACTGGGGTGGCTAATCTTCTGGTGATCCTAAGTTGTGTTAAATTTTCAGTGAAAAACTTTAGTCATAACAATAAGAACGTAACACAATAATAAGACTGATGTGGACTTTTTTAAGACAGCATGACTAGACTTTTAGACCATCAATCACGTCCTCTTCAATAAATAGCAAACGTTATCATTCCCAAAACTTGACAAACATTGTACATCAGGAAAAAAATAGGCACGTACCTTCTGACTTGACCTGCTTTTGTTCCTTCTGTTTGGTATTTTCTTTAGTTGTCTTTTTTGTATTGCTTTTTGTATCTTTATTTTTCTTATTTTCTTTACCTTTTGCCTTCGTTTTGACTTTCTTTTGACTGGGGCTCATCCACGTTTCGTCGGTTTCGTCATCGCTAGTATCAAACACCCAAATCCGCTTAGACCGCTTGCTGCGCATGTGTCTGTACAATATTTCATCCTCTTGCGGTTCCTTGTCGGTCTTGGTTGCTTTGACATTCTTCGCTTCCTCATTCTTGCTCGTTTTATTGTTTACTTTCTTGCTCTTTGGTTCATCATTCTTTTGTTCCGCTTCTTTGTTTGTTTTCTTTACTTTCTTGCTGTTGTTTGCTTTATCTTTCTTTTCTTCTTCCTCGTTTGCTTTATCATTTTTCTTTTCTGCTTCCTTGTTTATTTTATTGTTTACTTTCTTGCTCTTGTTTACTTTATCATTTTCTTCTTCCTTCCTTGTTTTATTGTTTACTTTTATACTGTTGCTTAGTTTCTCATCCGTCTGTTTTAGTGATTTTTCTTTTTCGTTCTTACTTGCGTATGTCTCTCTCTGTTCACTCCTGTTTCTCTTTCCTTTGTCCTTGCTTGATTCTTTGTTTACTTGTCTCCTTTCAGATTTCTTCAATTGCAAGCTATCATTTGGTATCTCTACTAACTGTCTTTTCGAGTATTTTTCATCATTCGTTTCTCTACATTTCCTTTTGTCTCTCTTCCCTTGTTCATTCTTGTTTGATTCACTGTGTCTCTTTCTCTCACTCGTGTTTTCCTTGTCTCTTCGATCAACAATTTGTCTTAGTCTAATCATAAGATTTGTCTCGTCGTATTTTCCAATCTCATCATCGTCTTTCTCTAAGGCTGGGGTCCGATTCGTGGATTCATTCGTAATTTCCTTTAAATGAAGTGAATGTCTCATCGAAGCCTTTCTCTGGGAGTGAAGAATGCTCGACACTCCACCCTCATTCTCCTTGTTACCATCATTCTTAAGCTTCTTGTCTCCTCTTGTCTTGCTCAACAGTAAATCTCCTCTCTTCTTCCTCTTTCTTTGCGATTCCGTGCTTCGTGGATCATTTAACTCCCTCTTATGGCCTCGGGTTTGTTTTTCTGGCGTCTCAATTTCATAAACTACGTCTTTTCTCCTCGTTCGTTGTGCAGTTGTGTTTGGATTTTTCTGAGGTGTAACTGATGCCAGTCTAGACTCCAAAGCTTTCCACCGTGTGTCACTACGTAGTTTAGGCATGTGTAACTCATGTGCAGGAAAGTAAGGGTGGGTAGGGTCCAGAAGCCACTTCCCCAAAAAGAACGATTCTACAGAAAATTCAACTTCCTGCATGTTCTTCATGGTGGTTATGGTCATTCATGAATCCTGAAACAAATAAAATCTATCAATAACAATATAAGCAGAAAACTAACATACACACTCCAAGAACTAACCTAACCTAACCCAAAACACTACACATGCTCCAAACAGTATCATAATTTTGTTAGACAATATAACAATGGATGAAGAATTTTGACAACCAAGACAACAGGAGTAATGGTGTTCAATTTGAAATTCATCGGACACCTCCATAAAGATACTTCTGGGAGTTATGTACAGAATAACCTAACCTAACTTAATCTAACTTAACCGAAACCTAACTTAGCCTAACCTTGAAGACATGAAGGTCAAAGACAAATTTTCTACCTCCTGGGCTGAGTATATAGTATATGTTTATTAAATGAGGGTTCAAAAATTCAAACAACCCCTGCTGGCATCCCTTCAGTAGTGGATACAGACCCTCCTCCAGTAGTATCTGTGGAAAGACCTCAGTATTTGAACATATTTGTGTAAAAAAGTAATGAAAAACTAATTAATGTATCGAGCTTTCCATAACAATCTTTCATGGTGAATAGACACAAGTAAAGCAGCATCAAACTAGTGGTGTTTTTAAGAGGAAGTTGCTGTAATGTTGTGGCTGTGTGGCTACAAGGCTGTAATGTGGCTGTAATATTAGGCCACAGAGTTAATGTGGTATATACTGTATGAATCTCTACAACCTAAAATAATCGTGTTACAGAATACCACCGTTTATATACCTATGTAAATCTATACACCTGAAATGTCTACTTAAATGCTGTAACGATAATTAACAACTAATATACCAAAAACTCGTCAAATATATAAAAATCACAAATTATCTCAAAAGGTTTGTCTAGACGAGAGAAAATAACCAACTTAGTTCAAAAATTCGTAAGATTAATGGAGAACTACATCTTCATTTCTTCTCCATTGCCGCCTGTTTATCTTGATTTACATTCACTTTACTGATGAATTGCCCTTAAAGTATTCCCTGTTCATGTGGTATAGTTAATAAGAGAACAGTATGAGATAAACAACTTTAAAATCCAACTCACTAACATTTCTTTACACCAAGATGCCCGCGTCCGTTCGTTAATCCCTCAACTTTAATATAAAGTTTATAAAATCTCTATATACCTCATGATACTAATGTTTAAAATTATATCTAAAACAATATATTATCTGATATTTAATTATTAACACATACAGGAGTTTATTTCTATAACTTACCCCGGTATATGCATAATTCCCTATATGCATGATCACTAGTCTTATTTTAGTTTAATTTTTAGTTAAGTCAATCATTTAAAATACATCGTATATATTTAGTATAGGATTTACCCTCATATCGAGAGTTAACTAGCCCAACTACTGTACATACTGGGTTGGTGATGGCGCTGTGGCGGGATTTCCGTGAATTTAGGACAGTCATCAGAGGCCTTAACACCATAATAAATTTTAATTAGTTATTTTGGTTTAATCTTTGAAAATTGAAAGCTGTGTAATAGCTCAATTTTGATGTTTTAGTTCATGTATAAATACTGTAAAACCGGAAATAATTAAAGGTGCCAGTCATGTCTTTACTTTTACCCTCTTCGCCACTGATCGGCTTCTTAGCCGCTTGGACATGTCTCGGATTACTTTTCCTTTTCATTTATCTTCTTCACCAAAAGATCGACTCGCTAACCGCCCAGGCTATCGGTCACGTCTCTGTCACGCACTGTTGGCAAATACTGGGCATGCACCGGCTCCTGAATGTACCTGAACCCGCTCCAGTGTTGGTCAAGTCTGGTCTTGAAAGAGCTCACACTCGGTGCCGTCGCAACACTCTCTGGTAGATTGCTCCAAGAGTTTACAACCCTCACTCCGAAAAAGTTTGCCCTCACAGTTTTTTGGACTTGCGGCTTCTTCAATCTTGAGCTGTGACCCTTGTGGGGCGAGCGTCCGCCAGCTCCAAGTAAGGACACTCAACTGAGTAGTGCCCCCTGAGATGCTTATACACCTCAACTAGGTCCCCCCTTGCCCGTCTGTAGTATAAGCTAGGCAAGTTCAGGCGCTCCAATCTCTCAGGGTAGCTGAGGTGCCGAAGTGCATGTACCAGTCTGGTGGCCCTCCTTTGAACATTTTCAACCAACTGACAGTGAGATGATTGTAGGCATATTAACAATGTTTTTAGTTTTTATTTGTTTGTGATTAATTTCTATCCCATGCAAGTTATTTTCGTGTATATAATGATGGGAATGAATCCGGTGACAAAACAGGCATCTCTTATAATGCTCTCAAGTACTGTACTTTACAGATTATGCTGGTCAGGCTCACCGGTCTATAGTTGTTCGTGGAGTGACGATCGCCCTTCTTGAAGATAGGACTCATATAAGCCACTTTCCATTCACTGGGGACCATTTGTTCATCCAGGCATTTACAAAACAGGATCTTCAGGGGCTCAGCAAGCTCGTTGCACAACTCTCTTAGCACTCTAGGATGCACCATGTCAGGTCCGGGACTCTTATGGACCTTTAGCCTGGACAGTTTATTTCTAATACCCTCTTCTGTGAACACAATGTGGGTCAGTGCTGTGTCGAACCGTCTGTCCTCAAACGCAGGAAGGTTAGTTGCATCCTCTCTTGTGAACACCGAGGAAAAGCTGTTCAATGCCTCAGCTTTATCCTGGTCAGAATCTGCGTAACTACCATCCACCAGTCTCAGGTCTGATAATCCAACTCTCGTTTTCAATTTCGACTTTGCATAGCGGTAAAACGCCTTTGGGTTTGACTTGACCTCTCTTGCAACCAGCCTCTGTAACTCCTTTTCAGCCCTCCTACACTCTATGCTTGGTTTTTGGTGCTTGCATACATCCTTCTGTCTTGCTCATCGCTTGACCCAACCCGTCTTGAATTTCTGGGTTTTCTTATTTTGTCGACCGCCGCATGGTTCATGTGTAGGGATCCCCTCATATTCCTAGAAGCACTGGGTTTGGTCTTGGGTATATATTTATCGATCAAATGGATCACTTTACTAGTTATGATATTCAGCATAGTGTCTGCGTTCTTGTACATTAATGAGTCAGGCCAGTTGATACCCAGGGGTAATACTGTACTAAATACACCAAAAACACACTGCACAACATACAACACACTTGATCATACAGCACAAACCACAGTTCTGTACTTACCATGCATCCAGCCTCACGATTGGTCCTCATGGAACATTCTTAACAGCTCACAAGTGTGCAAAGAAGCCAATCATCTTCGAGGGTAATGTGGGCTCTCTGTTTGTGAAGTTAGAGAGCTGGCTAGTATGGGACTCAGAATGGAGAGAATCGAGCTCTTCCTTGAATCCTAAATAGGAGTTGGTACTTGTGCATGTATTTGTGTGTGTGTGTGTGTGTGTGTGTGTGTAGGGGAGCAAATGTCAGTAGCCAGTCAGTTCTCATTGATAAGCTACACTATAGTACCTTAATGAATCTCACCCACTTAATGTAACGTTTCTCACTGTACCATCCAACTTTGTCAATACCATTCCTAAGTGACTCGAGAGAACTGTTGAGCAGCAATGTACACATTCCAGACACCATGGGTAAAATGCTGCCATATGTAATAGTGATTATATTTGATATTATATAGTCAAAAGTAAAAGAACATTGTTTAAATATATCCAGCTCGTAATTTATCAGCTTGTGATTGTCATTCACTTGGCATACTTCAATGAGTGAGTCATAAATATTCTTTGAGACATTGATATACTGTAATGTATTGCCACCAACCTTCCTTTTCCCTATTCTTGCACAATGGCAAGAAACACAAGGACCACAAGACACACTGTTACCATTTAATTGGTCTTTCTACCTTCCTTACCACATCTTCCACCACAGTATCCCCCTTATGATATAATCCCAGGATAACCATTCATGTTATCCTTTGTTTAACCCCTTCAGTACGATGCCTTTCTCCTGTGTATTAAAGAATTCAAGAATGAGATATAAATAACTAAATTAATCTTTATTTTCCTTAATTTTGGGTAGTAAAATATATTACAGTATACTTATGATCATAAACTTCCTGTATAACAAATTAAGAAAAGTCACCACCCAATTAAATTAAAATATTTTTGATTTTGCTTAATGAAAACTAAAGAAAAAAAAATCCCTCAAAAAATGTAAATGAAAATACAAACTAAAATACTCTGCCTATGGTGTGTTACTGAACTCTCACTTGCAAAAATTTCCATAAACTACAATATTGTTATCCACACTTCATGGGATGTATCCTTGTAAACACTTCTTCCCAACTGAAATACACTTCATTACTATACTGGGGCAACATTTTAAAGTACTGTAACTACTAAGTGTATATTTTATCCATTCCATAATTGGTAAATCCCTTATTGCTGGATATGGGAAAAAAAAAAAATAAAATAAAAATCATCATAATGGATTTGTTTTTAGCCTACCCGTAGTACTTGTAAGAAAGAGTTGCCCGTGCTAATGCCTAACAGTTCCCAATCCTCGTGATTTAGACTGTGACCCACTGACCAGCAGCCACAGGGTCCACAAAGAAGTACTGTATGCTGTGAAACCTAAAAAACGACATCAAACATGCTTCAATGTCACAATATAACTAAAATACTTTTTCTACTGATTGAAATAATAGCAAAGATATTATATAGTTCCCAAAAGCCATTCGTAAATAACTTTTTTTGTAAATCAATGGACACCTGTAATGAACCGGTAACCAATGACAAGTTCTATCAGGAAGAGAACAGTGATTTCCTTTTGTACATATTCGCCAAGTAAGAGTGTCCATGTCTAAATAAGACTGCCTGGTAACACTCTCTTGCCCATAAAAAAAATAGACACGTAAGAAATTTAAAATATAAATGAATACTGTATACTATCCTCATACAAAAATACTATACAACACTGGAGATTTCCGTGTGAAGAAATTTACTCCTTTTGCCTCTTCCAAGTACAGATTCCAGAAGCTCATTCATAAGTAAAAAAAAAATTACCGGTAAGTATATTCTCAAGATATAAGCATCAACCTATAAGGAATAAGGGTTAGAGAATCACATTGATAGCAAGTCTAATAACCTGGTGCACAAATCAATGGGTTTAACGTTACAAAAAAAAAAAAAAACAGAAAACTCCACCTAAACACAATGATACAATACACACAGCTCATTAACATCTCCCAGCAACTCAGCTTCCCCTCATTTCATCAAATTAAATATAAGATTTATAGTTAACTTTCCCTTTTATAGAGTAGACTTTCTTCTCAGGTGATACAGTACTAAAGAGTAATCAGGACTAGGGTTCTTATATATGTATGTCCAGATTCTTAATTATTTCCTAATGATCACTTCCTTACATTTTGGTCCTGTTCACTTTTTGATACTGGAACCTCAGCATTATCTAATTGGAGATGTGTTACCCTCACCTCTTCAGTAGTTGTAGTTGGTGCCTCTGGGATTTTCTCACTACGTACCAATTTGTTCATACCATGTGAGATACGGTAAGGTCTCCGGGGTTTCTTCGGGACCCCATGATAGGTTTGAGCGTTGCGGGCACAAGGAAATAACAGATAACTGTCGCCGAGGGACTTCCTGTCACCCAGTTTGACTCTACGACTCTTTAATGTTGATGCTCCCGTGGCCAAGTCTGGATCCTTCAAATCAACATAAGGAGCTGAAGAGGTTCCTTCTGCCTGGGATTTGTTGTAGAAATCAGGTAAGTTTATCTCAGTCCTGGGAACTTCCTGACGAGGAAACTTGATATCATTTAATTTTACAACAAGAGAATCTGTTGTCTCAATTTCTTCAGCCTCCATTTCCACAATTTTTGGAAGATATTTGTGTTCACACTGAGGAAGTGTGCTACAGGTACTTGGCTGAGATTGAGTGCTACCACAAGAAAGGTTTGATACAGATTTTAACATAACAGAACTCTTGTCATAAAATTCTGGTCCCAAGGAATGAGGTCTGGATTCAACAAATGGATGACACTTGAAAAGGTTAGAAGAAAGCCGGCTTGCCACAGAAATTCTCTTTCTTTCATTTTTCCTAACATTTTCACTTTTAGGGAAACCTTGTGATTCTTTTGGCAGATTCCCATCACCCTCAGCATATGCTTTAGTTCCCTGTGTGACATTTGCATCCCCTTCAGCAACAATTGCTTCAGATTCAAGTGTAACAAATACAGAGTCATCTGGGGAAGTTGTCTGTGAAACCTGTGCTGTGGTCATGACCTGATCAACATTTTGCTGCCAAGATCTATCATTGTGTTTTACTGGGGTAGATGTTAGCTTTGTTCTGTTGGTGCAGCTGCCTTCCTTGATCATAGTCAGGTCTGTTTCTCTTGCTAGCGGGTCATTTAGTGTTGTATCCTGAATGAAGCTTTGGTCCGTTGGCTCAGCTGTCACGCTGTCCTCTAGTAGTGTCTGGACATTAACCATGGTCTTTCTATTTCTACTTGGATAACCATCTAATTCAAATAAGGCAGTATGTTGGTGTTCAATAATCGGTACACTAATACACCCTGGCTGTTCTTTCATGACATGTGATAGTGATCTGACCACTGATTGTTTCTTTAACTTAGGTTGTCCATTTAGATAAGCTGTCAGTTCCATTTGTTCAGAAATATCAGGCTGTTCCTTTATCTTTGAAGTTGTTGTCATGGTGGTTGTTTGTTCCATTTGTCTAGTTGGTATCATGGTAATGGTTGGTTGTTTCTTTGTTCCAGACATTACACTCATGGCTGGTAAGAGTTCCACATGTCTAGAAGGTGCTGTAGTGATGACCGGAGGTTCATCAGCTCCAGACAGTGTTGTCTTCATAGGTAGACGTGTTATATGTTCAACTGGTACCATGGTCAGCACCTTTTGTTTCTCGGGTAAAGACTGTACAGTGCTAGTTGCTTCATCTCCAACGTGTCCAAATGGTACAGTTTTGTGGGTCCTTTCTTTCCCTAAAGCAGAATGTGCTATGGTAACAGTTGATTCCACATCAGTGAATTGTTTTTCCACTGGAATAGGAGATTCGACGGCTGCAGCTGATATTTTGGGTGATATAGATGGTAGAGTTGTGGTTGTTGGCTGTTCAAGTGAAACAGATGGAAGAGTTGTGTTTATAGCATGTTCCTGAACAACAGATGGTAGAGTGGTGACTGGTGTTCCCATCATTACAGAAGGCATTGTGGTAATGACTGGTTGTTCCTGTACAGCAGAGGGGACAGTAACAACAGAATGTTCTTTTAAAATAGATGACACTGATGTGGTGGACGGTTTTCCTTGTGGATAAGAGGATACCGCTGCACTGGTTGGTTCATCCTGTTGGTCTGGTACAAGTGGTGGTACACTATCTGGTTTTAGCAAAGGAATGGATGCAGTAGTCACAAAAGGTCGTTCACATACAACAGATATATCTGCAGTAGTGTCTGGTAGAGAGGTGAATGGTAACAGTTCTGGCACAACAGATTGAGAGGTAGTGACAAGTAAGTGTGCATTTAAGTCAAATGAATCAGTTACTTGGCATTCATCATTCACTGTCTCAGTATCTATCAACCCTTTGTCAGGGCAGCAAGTGAAACTATCTTCATAAGACATATCATCATCCACTGGTTTACATGTATGTGGCTGAAAATCAGCAGTGTCCAGGGCATCACCAGCATATTTAGCTAGTGAAAGAGATAGGTTATCCCAGGTTGGTGACGTAAAGATCCTTGGTTCACTTGCATAGGTGTGGCCAACAATAGGATGAGTAGAATGTCTCTGGTCAATGGCTGTAAAAGGATTTCCTTGGCCAAACACTGTGGATGAGGAATGTCTCTGGCTATTGACAGTGGAAAAAGGATCTTTTTGGCAAACAACTTTGGGACAAGATTCTCTCTGGCCAGTGGTTGGTGATACAGCAGTGTCTCTTTGGCTATTGGATGGTGGAGCTGGATCTCTTTGGTTAATGATTAGTGTAGGGTCACTCTGGCCATAGGTTGACGTAGGGTCACTCTGGCCAGCGTTTAGCAGAGTAGGATGTTTCCGATCCGTACTTGGCCGAGTTGCGTTAATTCCCAAAACATGGGGAAATGATGTGATGACCTGGCATACTGTTGGTGTAGGTTCTACCTCTGATGTAAGTGTAGGTGCTAGAGGCACAACATGTGGTCCCTCAGGATATCCATCACTGGGTTGAGTATCCCACTCAAGGTCTTCAATCTCCGGCACAATCACCTTCAGAAACTCGTCACTGATGCTGACGCAGTCCGTTATACTTGCCGCTAAGGCCACATACCCATCAAAAACTTCCTTCAACTGTAATTTCCCATCTGCACACAACTGTAATAAAAAGATATACAAGTAAAATACCAGACACTATCCTCTTTTTTAATACAAACATTCAATTCTGTGTCATTACAGGACTTTAAAATATAATATATGCATTTGGTTATTTCCCACACTTGTATGTGATATCAATTTAGATGAGAAGGCTCGGCTAGACTGTCATGGCTCTCAACTTAATGGAATAACTGGTGCTAAGATAGCTACACTGAATTCTGTATTCCTTAAACAGTTACTTTGCAACCACCTTGGATACACACCCATATCCAAGCACACTAACCTCACAAAGAAATGGAAGCCCATCATAGTATTGATACATCTGTCCACATCAAGTAAAGCCTACCTTATTGTTCTGTGCATGGAACCTTGATACACAAACAAATTTCAAGTGACATAAGTGCTCGAAAGTATAGCAATATGTATGGCAATTAGGAAGCAGAGTACTGTACAGTATTAAAATAAATAAATAAAGATAAGAAGATGCAGTAGTGAAAGAAATCTTGGGCAGAGGAAATCAGTGTCTGCTATGGTGATGGGGACATACTGGGAGAATGGGAGATGAAAGATCTGTCGGTGACAAAGAGGATAAAAGGAAAAGGAACAAGTACAGTACAGTATATTTCAAAGATAGATGGTAGGAGAGAGAGAGAGAAAACGACGAAAGGAGATGGGAAAATAAGGTGAAGTAAGGAGGATGGGGATGTTTGTAAAGTTGGTGCTCTTGTTCACTCATACCATAATGAAAACAACCGATTCTCGTCCAATCAGCAAAGTTACATAATTGTTATTATTATTAACCTTGATTATTTATTATTACTGGGGATGGGGTAAATCTAATACAGTAATGAGGAGATATCACTTACCATACACTTGGCAGTCTTCATCCTCTCCATGGCAGTCTTTATCTTCTCTTTGGCTTTTGTTACTTCTTCATTGACCTTGGCAGACTTGTTTTCTAGTTCTTTGACATTACGAGTCACAGTTTCTAGCTGGCGACGGAGGTCACACCTTAATTGGCAGCTAACTGTGACTCTGTGTGCATTATCCCTTATGTTCACTGCTTCCATGTTTAATTTATCTAAATCTTCTTGATTTTCACAAAGAGCTCTGTAAGAAGATTGATAGTTAAGTGAGTACAGTATATGTTTATGGGTGTACTGGAGTCTGCACTATCTGGTACAGTACTGTAGTATTTGGCTTGATAAACAAAAAAGCTGACCTCGTCCAGGTAGCCTGCTTTGAGACTGCCCAGTATGTCGGGTTGGGCCAAATGTGTTCATAATACTGTCCAGTACACTAATAATAATGAAGTGGGGAAAGCGGTGTCAAAATAGAAACAGTAAATAGTAACAAACACAATACAGTATATAGAACCTAAAAATAAAATAAACATACAGTTTATGGGGTTTTCTGGGGCTTCAATTGATTGACTGATACTTATCTTCTAATTGTTGATTTTTGTGTTTACAAAAAAAATTAAAAAATCATAAATGTGAGTACAGTACAGTAATGTACTACATAAGTTACCAAAAGATATTTAAGAAGAACATTTTTTAGTCAATTTTATGAGTCTGGCACTAGTGCAACATACTCTAATATATCCACATCCCAATGCACTGTGTTCATACAGTATGTATAACTTTAATGAATATTCTTCATGTGATGATGAAGATGATAATAAATATGGATATGTTTTACACTGTACATTAGCAAGTTCTTTTTGAACACCTTAAAAACCAAGAAAAAGGGGCACTAGTGTAACCCAATTCTCTTAATAGCTAGTTTGGAAAAAAATGGTAATGCAATAATTATTTTCAGTAGTTGTGAAGCCTTGAATAATTGTTCCAATTAATACGAGTTGAAGATAAACAGATTCCCATTGAGACTGTGTAAAGCTCCCTCCATTTACAGTAGGTAACAATGGAGACTGAAGGGACACAGCTACAGTATATAAAGAGAAACAATGTCTCTCTTGAAAATATGTAACATGTATGGGTGCTACTATAGTGTGTGGTCTAAAAAGATATCTTTTGCCTACCCTAACCTAACCTAAATATCTTGTAGACTGCATGCTATAGTTGCACCCATTTATGTACTGTATAGCAACTACAATGATGCTGGGATGAACTTCTACCTCAGTGTAGACTCTAGCAAGGCCATGATCCTCTTTCCTTCCTCCCTAGCCTTCTGTATTAGCCTCTCGATTTCCTTCTTCCTCTCGTTTACTTGGGTTGCTAATCGTTGACTCAGGCTGGCCTTCTTCCGCCTTTTGGCTTCCAACTCCAACCTACTGATCTCCAAGGTGGATATCAGAGCTTCCATTTCCGACTTCCCTAGGTGAAGTTTACTAAATGCCATAACCATCTCCTCATGGACTGACTCCTGCTCCTTGATACTGCTGCCTCCACTGGCCTGTGCCTCATCTATGTCACTTCTCCCAGGTAGATCAGTCTGCAACATCCAAAATTAAGTCAATGCAATTCTATGGACAAAAAATACTAAATGAATGAAAAATAAATAAAACAATATAAAATAAATAAATACTTTGCAAACTACTGTACTGAGCTACTCTACTGTCATAAACATCTACCTAGAGAGAGAAAAAAGCTTGCTTATAAGATCATGAAAAGCGTAAATTTCTGTGGGTGTCGAGAAACGGGTAGGACACTAGTTTATTCCTACTAGTAACCAAAGACTAAAAGAAACAAACTTGATCATAAAAAATGTGATCAACCTGAAAATCTGCAACAGGAATAAATGTTATTATACATGTACAATACAGTACATACTTCTTTAAACCCGACCAGCTACTGAGCTAACCAGGGGCCTGCGTTTGAGGACAAACAGTTCGACACAGCACTGACCCACATTGTGTTCACAGAAGAGGGTATTAGAAATAAAGAGTCCAGGATAAATGTCCATAAGAGTCCCGGACCTGACATGGTGCATCCTAGAGTGCTAAGAGAGTTGTGCAACGAGCTTGCAGAGCCCCTGAAGATCCTGTTTTGTAAATGCCTGGATGAACAAATGGTCCCCAGTGAATGGAAAGTGACTTATGTGAGTCCTATCTTCAAGAAGGGCGATCGTCACTCCACGAACAACTATAGACCGGTGAGCCTGACCAGCATAATATGTGAAGTACTTGAGAGTATTATCAGAGATGCCGCAATGGAACATCTAATACAAAACAACCTTGTAAAAGATTGCCAACATGGTTTTATGCCGGGGCGCTTTTGCTTAACACAATTGCTCAAGGTATTGGATATTTAGACCCATATTCAGGAACGGGGTGATAATATCGACAATATTTACCTAGATTTTGCCAAGGCTTTCAACAGTGTACCCCACGAAAGGCTGAAAATCAAACTGGAAGGGTACGGAATTCGGGGAAATGTCCTAGCGTGGATAGAAGACTTTCTACATGACCGCAAGCAGTGTGTGGTGATTAATGGCACGAAATCATCATCTGTACCTGTCACAAGTGGGGTACCACAGGGCAGTGTATTGGGCCCGCTGTTGTTTGTTTGTTTCATAAATGACATGCCTGACGTTGTACACTCCTCCATACAAATGTTTGCCGATGACGCCAAGTTATTTCGGGAAATTAAGAACCAAGCAGACTGTGAAGAGCTGCAGAAGGACCTCTGTGGGCTCCAGGAATGGTCGAAGAAATGGCTGCTGAGATTCAATGTCACGAAGTGTAAGAGGATGCACCTGGGGCGTGCCCACGGTAAGGAGGCGTATCATATGTCCCAACGGGATGAAGAAACTGCACTAGTTGAGACTGTGTGTGAGAAGGACCTAGGTGTGTATGTTGACAATGAGCTGAAGTTCTCGGGCCATTGTGAGAAGGTAAATCAGGCAAATAAATTATTGGGTCTTATAAGAAGGTCTTCAGATATCTAGACGGTCCGTCCCTCGTAACGATCTTCAGGAGTGAAGTGCTTCCCCATCTGGAGTGCTGTCACCCCATCTGGTCCCCGAGATATGCTAGGGACTGTCAGTTGGTTGAAAATGTTCAAAGGAGGGCCACCAGACTGGTGCCTGCACTTCGGCACCTCAGCTACCCTGAGAGATTGGAGCGCCTGAACTTGCCTAGCTTATACTACAGACGGGCAAGGGGGGACCTAGTTGAGGTGTATAAGCATCTCAGGGGCACTACTCAGTTGAGTGTCCTTACTTGGAGCTGGCGGACGCTCGCCCCACAAGGGGTCACAGCTCAAGATTGAAGAAGCCACAAGTCCAGATAACCGTGAGGGCAAACTTTTTCGGAGTGAGGGTTGTAAACTCTTGGAACAATCTACCAGAGAGTGTTGTGACGGCACCGAGTGTGAGCTCTTTCAAGACAAGACTTGACCAACACTGGAGCGGGTTCAGGTACATTCAGGAGCCGGTGCATGCCCAGTATTTGCCAACAGTGCGTGACAGAGACGTGACCGATCGCCCGGGCGGCTAGCGAGCCGATCTTTTGGTGAAGAAGATAAATGAAAAGAGATGTGACCGATCGCCCAAGCGGCTAACAAGCTGATCAGTGACGAAGAGGATAAAAGTAAAAAAGTAAAAATAAAGAAATGCCGGGTAAATTATTATCACACTGAAAACCTGCCAGTGCAATTTACCATTTTCTTAACTTACTTGGAAGGAATTATTCCCTTGTAACTCCCATTAACAAGGCATAACAGTATGCAGTTTCCAATCCAACAGCATTTAGGTGTGATAACTCTAGTAATGTAAACTGACTGAGACCTGTTCAGTAGTTTTTAGCAAGATGCACTGCAAAGTTTGAATATAAAGAAGTATTAACTATATAATCCAAGCACACTAAGGTTGTCATGTTAACCAACTTTTGGTATATTAAAAAATTAAGAAAAAGAAGTTTGATCTCACTAAGAATGAATAGATAAGACTACTGTTATAGGTCACTGACCCACACCAATTTTATTTAAAAAATCACAGTGGAGAAGACAATAAAGGTAAGGGAAACGGACTTACAGTCTTGGGCAGTCGTTTGGGTAGTGTAACGCTACCTTCCCGTAAAGCATGGCAAAGTTCTTCTGCTGCCTGTACTTCTGCCTGTGGTGTGGAGGAAATGGTGTATAAAGCTTGTGTTTACTTTTTTATCAATATACATGTAATTACATATGCCACTGGCAGTAAACAATTCACATAGCCAACTCACTACTGTACTAAAAAAATTTAAACACAAGGCTTGACACGGTAGACAGTCGTAGTAAGAGTAATGCTAGACCCTTAAACACGAGGCTTTACTGCTAAGTTTGTAAACATTAGGCTAGAACAAACCTAACCAACTGACCTAAATATTTAAACCTTTCAATGATTTTTATTTATAGGTCCCGCATCAATAACGTCCATATTGCGTCTGTCTCCGTAGGCGCAGCTTGGCTGAAAATAATTAGTGTCTGGCGATGGTTTAGTTAACCTTATCATCGTACTCAAGAGAATTGGGTCATTATTCTAAGTTTTTTAATTATTTAATTACACCCTTTATGAGTTAAAACTGCAATCGCTTCCTTAATTCTAAGTTAACAGTCCATTTATAGTCGAAAATGGGTGGGGGTTTTTGTTTAACTTCCAATAACGTCTAAAATTTCCTTCAACTTTCTCACAACATATCCTAGTCATTTGTTTTAATCTAGAAATGGTTCTTACCCTAATATTTTGTCACTAAGAATTTTCCTCAGTAACTGCTAAGACGGTAACTGTCATGGCGGCTTAAAAAGTTTATACGAAAAAAAAAGTTTAAAAAGTTTATACGAAAAAAAAAGTTTAAAAAGTTTATACGAAAAAAAAAGTTTAAAAAGTTTATACGAAATTCAAGGAAAAAATAAAGTTTGATATTACATTATAACTCGATAACTGGGGCTTTCTTTCCCCGCATCGTGAAATAATGACTTTGTTTTTCCTCTAATGGCGAATAACCTGAACATTACAATATACTAACCGTAAGTTTCTCAGATTTCTCGAACATAGCTTTGAATTTCTGCTCCAGACGACTCGCAGATTCATTAATTTCTTTTTCTGTTTCATCTGATGTCTGTTTTTGCGTTGTGTTGGCTTCATCCATTGTGGCTGACGTAAAAATAAATGGAACTTGTAGCCAACTCCTTCCTCCTCGTCCCTTCAGGTTCAAACTAATTACATGTACCAACTTATTTCCTCGTTATATATTGTCAGATTTAACTCCTTTTTTCTCTGTTGTTTGTAAATTTCATAATATTTTTATTTTCTTATTGATTTTAATATAAATTAGATATTTTTAATCGATATTTTTTAATTAGGAAGTAGTTATATTAGAAATGTGGTTAATTTTGTAATGCGGATCTCACAATTGTGGCGCCAAGGCATTCCTTACTGAATTACTCAGAAATTTTCGAAGTTTAATATATTTTGGGATGAGGACTAATTATTACATAGTTATGTTACTTCAATGATATAACATAGAAAGAAGTATGTGTGTAGGAATTTGCCTGGTTTGAGAGGAATGAAAGGATTTTTTAGCCCTTTTGAAACAACGATCAACAAACACAGAAGGGTACCCAGGATTTTGTGCAATGGAACGAATGTGTTTCAATTCATCATCAAAAAATTCAGATGTCTTGAATAAAGACGAAAGGTAAGGTGCTCCGTTGTTTCCCTTTTCCCGTGTGATTTTATCAATATATATATATATATATATATATATATATATATATATATATATATATATATATATATATATATATATATATATATGCTGATAACCTTGTGGTTATCAGCATATACCTAGATCACGCACCTACAGTGATTTACTTATATATATATATATATATATATATATATATATATATATATATATATATATATATATATATATATACAGTATATATTGATATTAACGCTTGTATTATATTTTCATGTGACCTTATTTCGTTCTCCAGTCGTAATGTTTATACTGTATAAAAAAATAGCCAACACAGTGCACATACAAGCGAATAATGGTCCCCAACATGACAAGATGTTTCACTCCTTCCTTCCATCGTAAAAGTTTGAGTAATAGAAAACCCTAACTTATAGTGGTTTTAAGAGCATCTCAGTCATCTTTTCCTTTCATTTTCCTATATATTAAGGTTCTATTATAATAATAAGGGAGAATTTAGCCTCCTGTCTACGCATGTCGCATCTGGTAGCCTCTGGTATTACAGTACTAGTTGGTCAAGTCATAAAACTCTATGGCAGATTGCTCCAACATTTAATTACTAAAAAAAAAAAATACCCTGCCAATTTTCAACCTTTGGGGAGCTTACATAAGTGGCAGGTGAAATATATTCAGTGGAAGGAAAACAGGTGGATGGAAGTGGGTAATGGGATTAAAAATAGGTGCCGTGGTTTAAGTAACAAATCACAGCAGGGTGCCAGGGTGGTGCAGGTGGAGTACGGCGCCCCTCCATCTTTGTTCCGCCTAGTGACGTGGCATCAGCTCATTGGTTGACCCCCCGGGAAGAAGTGCGCCACAGATCAATGTGGCACTTCCAGGGATCCTTACTGCGTAGTTACAGCGCCTAACAGGTAACCAAGCAGAGTTCATGCTTGCCTAGTAGACTCATGCATTTAAGGGCGTAGTTCTCACGCCTTTCTTCTACATATTTGTTCCAAGCAAACACGTATTTGGGCCAGATAAATATGTGTGGCATTTAGGACTAATCAATGAACCCCGAAGTTTGGAAAAAATTCAATTCAATATATATTTCAAAGATTAAAACCAAGCAGAAAATTTTAATAGGAAAAGACGTGAATCAAGTAAGTTTTCTGAAAATTTATCATAAATCCCCGTCTCCTCGTGGAGCTTAATGTCAATAGCTAACATAGTCTTAACTT